TAATCATTTCACCGAAGACCACTTAAGTCTAGAAAGCTACTTAGACCCGTAGCCTTTCGCAGGTATTATTTAATAAGTCCTTGCTTCCTCTATGTTTCTTACAGGGTTACTGATCAAAATTAGTCTAATAATTTATAGCGATTATTTCATGGTTTAAAAATGATTTGGCAATGTTGCTACGCATAGGTTATTTCCGCCGCATCGATGGTGTCCCGAAGGTGCTATGCTCATGATGTATATTGTTTTGGTAAAAAGGAATATTGTAACATTATTACTGAAATGTATAATATTGAAGTTGCTCCTTTGTTTCTTTCAATCCTTTATAGACCAACAAGTCTGCTGTCCTTCGTCGGGCCATCGATCGAATCCGATATCTTGAAAAGGAAAATGAGTGTCTTAGAATTCAACTCAGTATGTATGAGAATGGCTATGCTGTAGTCAACGGTAATTTATCTGCATTTCCTTGTTTTACATATGAAAGCTTGAGCATGCAAGGATGCTCAATGTTGGCACTTTTGAAATTAAGTTTCTTCACGCGGAACATATTTTCCTCTATTTGAACTCAATACTTAAAGTGGTGTTTTTGAGTTCAGTGTTGGTAACGTGAGCTTTTGGTTGGGATTTTACTTACGGCTGATAATTTAGGGCGGAAAGTATTCCACTGGCTTTATTAACCTTCGCTATTTCCATTCTGGTTTTCATGTTGAGATTCGTTTAACTAGTTTAAAGTGTTTCGTTTTATTTTTAGGAAGCAGAACATTAAAATAAAGTTCAGGTTCAATTGTGATACAAATTAGTTTCATGGAGTCAAAATCGAATTTTACTGATGTCTGATAGTTCTGCGAGCTTCCACTTCAACTTGCTTACCTTTTCTGCAGATATTGATGAAGAAAGTCATTTGGGGTTCAAATCAAGTAAGGGGCGTCTGGTGCGCATCAAAGCTGATCCAGCCGCAATCCCGCAACAGGTGGAGGTGTTACGACCGGTCCAGAAGCTAAGACAGTCGCCAATGTCTCAATCGCGAGCCCTTCAACAGCCAATTAATTCCTGGAGTAGTCAAAGCGGTCACTTGCCTCCAATCGCCTCCTCCGACGAGAGCTCCCCGCCCTCTATGATTGGAGTGTCATCAATCATTTCTTCTGCCTCCGATGACGTCTCTGCCATCTCGTCTCCGGAATCTTACCAATTTATCCACGTCAGCAGGAAGCGCAATGGCAAGTTTTGATCCCGGAACGCTTTTCTTAGCGTGATAGCTTTTAGTTTGGTTTGATCATTCACCATGGCGAGATTTTCTCGATTTTCAAAGCAGTGACTTAATATTGATATTTGACATTGTGTGCTTTTGCGGAATAATTATGGTAGCTTTCCACAGCCGATTCTAGGGCTTTTATTGATACGAACTTCGCGTCTCGTAAAATGTATTGAACACAGTTTATTCATTTGCCTATTTGTCATCATTGTCTAGTAATTTGAAATGGCCTATTTTTCGTTCTTGTCCTCGAAAACTATGGAACAATTGTCTGTAGATCTTATAATTCAAATATGATGATGTAATTTGTTTGGGTTTTTTGCCTTATAGCAGATGCTCATCTGTTTCAACAAGCCTGCCCCTCAGACGCGAAGGTGGGAGCCTTTTATGCGCCCGGTGATAGATCCACAGACGATGGCCCCATCCAACTTCCATGTCAATCACTTATAATGGCTTCTGATGGCTTTGGGAGACCTTCACCAATATGCAACCCTGCTGATGTTACCTATTCCAATGCCAGTAGCACTAGTGTCAACGGCTCCAATGGCTGTCAAGCCCAAATTCCATCGAGTAACGAAAGCGAAAGCAATTTCACCCGCTTAAGCCTTTTCTGGGGTTCATTCTCTCTTCTCATGTTCAATCCTTTCGTCATCTCGTCTAGTGGTGACGCGAACCGTGAAGGTGCTCACCGTAAGCGTTTATGCCTTTGGGATTTTTATTATGCTGGCCCGAACCCCTCGTTCATACTGAGAACTCAGGCAGCCTAGTGTTCCGCATTCCGGCTTTTTACAGTCCTGTTTGAAAGAATTTAGTGACTTTCATTCTGGTTTGAGAGTCTAGTCGAACTAGGCCAGACATATTTATCCAAATTATCAGTTGCAGTTATTAAGTGAATGCCGTAGTCTCCATACAACTCTCTTCATGGTTGTACCGTAGGTTCAATGTAATTGTGTAACTTATGCAGTACTTTGATTTATTAGCTCAGCACGTTTCACATAAGTGAAGGCAGTTGTCAGTTTTCAAATGTCGGCCGAAGTGGGTTTATGATATTGTTGTAATTCAAACGGCATTTATAAGGCTTGTGAAATAGCTACTTTTCTTCTTGATCTTCGCGCACCTTTTTTCAGCCACCGGGATGCCTATTCTTCGTTTGTTGTCTGCAATATCTCTAAGCTTTCGACATTCCAAAGAAAGCGGTGGTACAAGCTCAGCCTTGAGCCCCTTGTTCCTCTCGTTTTTGTATGCCGCTCAGTGGGTTGTGGCTATCCTCCTTCTTCTCTTTGCATGTCCTCGTAATTTTGGTTCAATTCTACCGAGCTTTCTTACCTGGGGATGCGGAAAACGAATTCAAGGAGTTGTCAGCAAACTTCCTGGTGGACGAGTTGCTCTAATGCATTGGAAGCAGTCCCATGAGTATACCAAAAAAGTAAGCTTGCACCTTTTACTTGAACACCTTACTCAATTCTTCAATGTTCAGATGTTCATTCTCAGGTCGAGAAAAATATCTATGTTTGACGCCTTTTTGTAAGTCAACACTCATTCTAGTTTGCTACTAAGTTATCCGTGATGTTAATTATTCTGACTATTTTTCAAGTTGATCGCTTTTTTACCCCACAGTTGAACTATTGCGAAAAAAATTCACCAAACATTTGAACACAAATGAAAGATTGCGTGCCGAAGTTTAACTTCTCCCATTTATCATTTATTTCCTTGCTTCTGTTTCTTGCCGAGCCGCAGTGTGGGCATCGAATGCAACGTCCTAGAATTCACAATTGATTAATGGGTTATGGGTCCTGCACACGCGATTTAAAGTACCAGAACTACGGAACTGGAAAAATCCATTGCAAAATCGACAAGATGACGTCACAATTTTACCTTATTCCAACTCATAGCAATCATAGACTTCTGCATCTATTCATCACAAGTTTGTCGCCATTGGACTACGCTGTTTTTCGTCCCTTGTATAATGCATGAATGGTACCTTGCGTGGGGAAACATTTGGGTTTTAAATTGTGAGATTTCATCCATCCAGAACGCTGTCCATGCATTTTAGGCAAGAACTTTGCAGATGCCTCTATTCTAACGGCTTCGTCTTGTGAATGCTGTTGCTTCTGTTGAAATCGATTCGTGTTCACCGTTTTATGTTCAGTCATTCCTGCCGTTAGAATTCATATTTTGTGCACTGTATTTGAATGCTTCATTTCAGAAAGCTTGGGTCGAAGCTGGAAGTCAGTTAAAGGAGTCTCTAACAGTACTCGGTGCGTCTCCATCCATTGGCAACGGCCTCATATCCGCCTTTTGCGCACGCGCAAGTGCCTACGTTGAGGGCCTCAGATTCGCCATATATCGTCTGCCGCAATTCTTCTGGCCTTTGATCCGCAAGTATCCCATTCCCCGAGCGTCTCATTTATCTCAGTCTGATGCGCCAACAGTGTCCCAATTAAGGCGGCAGCTGCTTGATCTCAAATTTCTTGGTAAGCACTTTAAATAAGAGAAAGTAGAGGCAATTCGTAGCTTTGAGGATTGTACTCTTGTGCTGTCATTTCACATTCGCATTCGTTATTGCCCAATTAAATGGAGGTTTAAGCTCGTTTGATTAGTAGTCATTCATTATGTATTGAAGTTTAAGACTTATGAACCAACGTTTTTCAATACAGAGACCAGTTGGTGGATAGTGAGTTGCAGTTATGTAATGCACGCTACTTTCAGGATAGGGATTTTGTAATGAAACCCTACTGTGCAATTCACTCATTCGTAGGTCTACTAATTTCACTTTTCCTATTAGTCTTAATTCATCTTCGGCACTACTAAGGTGTTGTGGTAATTGAATTAAAGAAATACTAGCTACTGAATAGTTTTTTTTGCGATCTTATTTTTCGAAAGCAAATGATACTACCATGCATCGGGAAGATTTTGTAGAGAATTCTCAATCCTTCAAAGTAATCTTTAGTTTCTTTCAAATTGGTGATATCTGTTGAAAGCAATGTATTACTACGGGATAGTTGTGTCAAATGATGTGGGATAGTTCACATGATATATGGATGAGTTTTTGAACAATTTATGCCGCTGTTCTATTCTGTTGCAAACTACTTGTCTTCAGATCTCATTCATCTATCAAATAATGACCCGGTGACTCAAGAGTGCCCAGTTGTTTCTGAGATGTCCGGTCGCGAGTGCCTCCATGTTGTGCATCTGATGTTTGCCTGTCTCAACGACTTTGTTGTTGGCTGGAGCTCAGCGCACAGGGGCAGATCTGTCGATCTGGCCGAACTGACCCGTCTGGGTCTCGTTCTGGCTCTCTCCGCCAAACGCTTCTTCGGCGTGAATTGGCTTGGGGTGAGTTTACGCAACATTGTCGCTCCCGCAGCTCTCAACCTCAACTAGCAACACCTATGGAAACTTTTTCATTTTTATTTATTTCACACTTATCCACTTATACCGCCTAAATTATTTTTCGGTGGTTGTTCAGATTGTTTCTAACAGCACGATGACGCTTAAATGCGACTGTTCCTTTTATCTCTAGGACTTGCTGCTGCGAGCGACGCAGCGCATAGCCGGCAACCTGAATGATGGCTCCATTTGTCTCGGTCCCGAAGACGGACCCATAATGGCTATGCTACTTGCCCTCTTCTCCAACGAGTTCTGTCAGAAACACAAAGTAGAGGGAAAGGGTACTGTCTACAACTCATTTCTGAAAATCCAGTTACAGAAGCCAAATGGTTCGCCTTCGAAGTCATTGGTTGTTGACGAAGTTAACTACGATCTTTGTGAGATATTCATCACTAGGGCTCTCGAGGTATTATTCCCTCTTATAACAGTGTTTACCCCAAAGCAAATGAATGAACTTTGAAGAACTGAGATTGTGTTTAGTGATTACCAGTTATACTCCCTTTATGCTTATAATCTCAAGGTTACATATTTCCATCTGAATTTGCAAGCTAATGGATTAGGCGTTATTTGTTCAGGTTCTTATATCACATTTAATTTCAACGACAGTGGCAATGTCGTTAACTAGTTTCAGTGCTTAATTTTTTTCCCTAGTGCATTGTCTTCTCGAACCTTGAACCGACTTCGCCGTTTGAATCCTACTTGAAGGAAATAAAGCGTCTTACATTGCGCCTATACAGTGAGAAATCATCGTTTTTCAGAACCCTGGCGAGTGATGGAAGTTTGGAATCATCTTTGTTGCTTACCCGTAGGTTTAAACGGTGTGCGTCATTCTCTAAGAGGATATTGTGTGCAAATAATACAATGGCGTTTCCGATTTGCCCGGTCGAGATGTTTCCTCCCTTGGATGCTATCCACTCGAACACTTTAATCCATTCATTCACATTTATATTTTGGTTTTATTGATGGTGTTTTGGTTATTTATAAGAGATAATTTTAGGGATCAAATGGAAACGATATATATTTGGTATAATTAAGAATATCTGCAGATCATCCTATTGCAAATGCGTATGTAAAAGCACGGACAATAACGCGGTAAAATGGAGTCTATCTGTAGGAAGCTTGTGTGGAATGCATTGACACTTCAATTTTGTATGCCGTTTATTGAATGCCTTAGACGGTGAAAGTGATTCTGAAGCGGCGTGGGAGGAGAAAGTTGAGCAACCTGATGAGAACAACATTTGGTGGCTGTCAATTCTCGAGATAGCTGGCAGGTGGTATGCTAGCTCTCTCGACTTTGAGGACGTCGCGACGGTTGAGCACATCACTCCAAGCCCATCGAAGATGGATGCTGACGCTCGACTGATTTCACTAGCTTATAAGTAAGCAGCCGTTTTCCCTGTAGCATGACTCTAGGTATACATAGCGTTAGAGGAACGGTTTTGCCAAAGTGCTATTCTGTAAATTTGAAATAAGGGTATGTAACGATGCAACAACAGTCCCAATGATGATAGCTGACCAAATAGTTGTCCTCTATGTTAACTACTAACGATCATGTGACTCATCGGAAGCGATAAATGAAAATTTAATAGTACAATTTTTCTCACATATATGCAACTAAAAACTGATACTTGCTCGATATTACTAGCGGATGTTATACTATTTACGGCTGTTTGTCGTAGCGATTTGCAAATAACTAGTGTGGGCGTTTGTGACACCTTTTGCGTTATTCAGTGTGCTTATGTGGTGCGTTGATATAATTTGTATAATTTTGTGATGTGATGACCAATCTGATCTTAATTCTACCATTACCTTCGTCTAGTCTGTTGTACGTGACTCAGTCTAAAGCCTTTAACGCCGCTGAAGCAAGCCTTGAGGTGGTGGCAAAGCCGCTTCTCGAAGTCTGGACGGCTGTTCGAGAGGCCTCTGACTTACTGGAGCAAACGCCATCGAGGAAGTGCGGAAGTTTAGCTTTTCCTCTTGAGAAGGGCTTCAAACAGACAGTCGATCTGAGGAACTACGTTTATGGTGTAGGTCACTCTACCCTTACCAAGTGGGATTTTTGTTTCGTATTTACTACCTCTGTATTGTTTCTTAGTATTCACTAAAACAATTGAACCTATTAGCGTTTTCATAAATCATCCCATCATCTTAATGGTTGTTCTAAACATTGGTCCCTTATCATAACATTTGGATATCCCAATCCGACGACTGTCATCACTCGATACGCGGTATCAATAAGTATGCCAGGAAAATGTCGTCAAAATTTTTTGGGAGTCAAATAAGCCGGTGCGTAAGGTTTCAAGCGTGTCTCCACATCTCACCTTGGTTTTGTATTTAGTCAGCATATGCTGTTACTTAAATTTACCCACTCTATTTTGGGGTTTGGTCTGGTATTTAATGGTATATACCGCTGAAATACCGCATTGTTTGAGTGTCGACACCTAACTCGTGTAGGGTTTCTGATATGATCTTCGCTTGGTTATTGTCTTATGAACAAAAATCGAGGTGGCGTATAATAGAAAGTACCCTCATAATTGGTAGGAAAATGAAGTAGCCTTGTTAATGCCATTCCTTAATATATCTTTACAATTTATCGTAGCGCATTCACTGTTCCCACATAAGCTGAACATAGACCTCCTGGAAATGCAAACTTGAATAATACATGTTGATTCCAAGAGCTTTCTGGTGTAATTTTGAAATTAAATATACAGCCTCCTATTGGGAAAATGTCAATTCCACATCCCACCGTGTCTTATTCTAGCGTGCCATACTTGTCAAACAAGCATCATTTAGGCATCATCCGATTCCCTAATGTAGTGTGTAAACTTGAGTAATATTTCCAAACTCCCACGAACTTTTTATACAGGATTTTTTTTGTTGTAGATGTATCAAGTGGTTGCTCAGGATTGGATCTTACACTCGTTGAACTCAATCGCTAACAGGCTTCAGCAAGAAAGCAGCCATAGAGACGATGTTGTATTTGGCATGAGTGGGTGTCACCAGCCCTCATTATCCTTCAACAGCATTATCCGTCTTTTCTCCGACACCTTGGAGCGTCAAAGACGTCTTGTAAGGTGCCTACAGGCTTCACCGGCACTCTGGGTAAGCCAAACGGATAGGTGGTGGTTACAATCTCGTACGATTTTGTGTGACCTTGAAGTATTATGTCACGTGTGGGATTTGGCATTCCTGTCCATCAACGTACGATCATGCTTTTGTCGTAGATTGATTTCATTTAAGTCAGAAATTCAGATTCGGCTGGTTTACCACCGGAATGTTCATACGTCGAAAATTACTATTATAATGGTATACCCCAGAAAATTTCGTCGATAGGCTTATAACTCATTTCGGAAGTGTCGAAAATTGTTTTAAGCGATATGTTGTTACCTAGGACCACGTACAATATAATAACCTGTTACCGTTTCTTAAGTAATGAATGCCTTTTTTTTCATAGCTCACCAAAGTAGAAGTCATGTATCGTCAACTCAATCGTGCCAATCCTGTGTGGACGAATCTCATATGGGACCAAAGGATTCCTTTGGTTCATCTTCGCAAAGCATTATCTGACAAGGCGCCAAGGGTGAATACAAAAAGGCCCATTGATGGTTGGGAAATGTCAACGCAGAAAAGTCGTCTGGTTCATACAAAATATATCGGCCAATGAGTATCGGTGCTAAACTCACGTCCTCATCATTCCATTGATTAAGAACCCCACGGTTTAACCATCGTCTTTTGCCTTTGCGTCGTGTTGGGTGGTGGGGTGCGCGCGCGTAGCGGTCGCTCCTGGGGGCTGGATAGCCCACCTTCGGGTTTGGTTCTTCCCATCAAGGGCGAGGGGGTGAGGGATTTAGTTCCACTAGATTTGGGGTTTGATGTTTTCCCGATGGGTAGTGAATGTTAGCTATGCAAAGAAGGGCTAGCCGGGAAACCGATTTAGGTTGTGAGGTCAGCAGCAAAAGATGAACTACTAATAATAAGGGATAATGATTAGTTAGCAGTTGTTTTAGTTCAAAAACCCAAGTAAATTTGTTTGTTAACAATGAATGCCAAAAAAGATTAGGAATACTGTAATTTTGTTGACCTTTGACGAAATTTGTTTTAGTTGTTTATCAATGGGCCCCGCTCTTCAAATAGTTGTGGAGATGGGGTTAGTAGTCGTCCGAGCTTTGTCAGTTTTAATTCTGACATCCAATTTCCCGTAGCCTTTTCTCGAGCATCTAGTTAAAAACAATATAAGGACTAAAGTGTACTCGAGAAGTCGATTTCCCACAAGAAGTCGGAACGTTGTTTTTTTCGGATGGTTATTTACTTGCCACGTTTCGAACTTGGTTGATATAATACCTAGTTCCGGATTTTACTGCATTTGCATCAACTCGCGTTATTACTATTTGAGTCGTTGATGTGGTTTCTATCATTCATGGTTATTGCATCCTTTCTCTCTTAGATAGTTTTCCCTAAGGCAGAGTTTTTATTGCTTTTCCATGATTCCTTCAAATCTATAGTCGCCTTAATTTGAACTGAGCTGCACTTTTATTTAGGACATCGGCTGTGATTCCACTTTTTTAGACCTGTCATTGCTGTCTCCAATAGCAAGGCCGACTCATTCAGTCACATGCCCTTGCACAGTAGCTTAAATTTAATTTGGCGTGAAGGCTTTATTACAAATCCTATGTGCGGGCAAGCTGTCAGACTTGTATTGCTCACGTACTTTCTGTTAAAGAGAACAACCTATCTTCACCTGCCAAGCCCATGTATTCACAATCAATCCCTCGACCCGAAGGTCATGGGTTCAGGCGAGCTCTAAGGCGATCGATATCAACATCTTTTTCGATTCCAGCAAGCAGTGCTATCGTATTGTTAGTGTTGAAGATGGACCAACCGGTATGAAGGTGTGTTTGGCTTTTCGTTAATTTGGTTCTCAAACTGTCTATCAGCATGAATTCTATCTTCACGACGCGAGATTTAAGAAAGTTTTTAATTTTGAAATAGCTAAATCTGCTCTTAATACTTTTGTAAATGGTACCTGCTAGCAATTTTTGGAGTGTGATGGAGCGATTTCGACATTTTTGTGGCCTTTTTGCTTTAATCAATGACCCAATCCACTACTTGTCAACGCAACTTTCAATGCTTTTTTGTTCAACAATAGTAATTTTATTGGGTTTTCCTTGTGTTTCTTGAAGTATTATGTTAACTCAAAACATTATTCAGGGCGTGTGTGTTGTCACAAAATCCACACATCTTTACATTTGAACTCTGGTTGAGAATTGTACATTTAGTTTCTCTTAAGTAGTTATTTCGTTCATGACGATTCCCAATTCTCCTCATGCATAGTCTCTTAGAGAACATGAGTGATAGCGGAGATCCTTAGTAGAGAGCTGAATCACTACTATGATGCGTTTGAGACAAATGTTATTTGATTTATCAAAGCTGACATGAATAAATTTTCATTTTGAGAGAAATCTCTTAGTTTCACGCATTAGAAAAGCTGTGTTTAGTTGACTATTTCCATATGAAATTATCCATGACGGGTATGACCCCATCTACGGTTTGCAAGCAATGATAGTTTTGGTATGATGCTCCTCCTAGGTGGTCATTAATAGCACTATTACACCGAAGATGGTGTTCAAACAAACGTCACAGAAATTCGGTCAATGGGCGGATCCGAAATCCTCGGGGGTTTTCGGACTCGGCTTTGATTCTGAAGTTGATCTCAGCAAGGTAGGTTTTCTATACGCCGTTACCTACAAAGTCTTTACAGTAGTGTGTCCATCGGCTGCGTTCATCTGTGTGCTCACGTAAATACTGCTGACAATTGTAACGTTTGGCTTCTTACTCCTAATCATCCGACTATTAGAAAGAAAAAAACCCTTGCTACCATTTATATCCACCATAAATATCTACTGATGTGGGCAGATGTGGGTATGGATAGTTATTGGGGCCCATTTTGCATGCAACCTTGTTGTCACACATCTATCTGATTATGGAATGATCGCTTATCTGCTGCCATTGCTTGTTGGTATTTTCACGTCATTCTTACAAGTGATCCCAAGTCCTACATGGTTAGAAAATCCCAAAGAATTTGTTTTGCATTAGCGTGTTAGTAAACTTGCCGAACGTAACAACTAAGCAAGCTCCCAAGTGTATTTGACTTAATTCTGAAAGGCATCCCTTGAAAATTTCCTGTATCTTTTCTCAGCGAACCTATTTTGTTGAAGGTTTTTATTCTAATCATAAAGAAGGAAGGCCCCAATGGCTGAATTTGCTTGTGTCATACCTGATTTTAGTTCTGATATTAACCCAACATTGTGGGAAAACACCGACAAGTTGCCAAAATATTATTATGTTTGATCATATCCTTAGGTTTTACGAATGTTTACGCTAACCGTAGAAGTCTTTAGCGTAAAACCTTATGCCCCATATCTTATGATTAGTTTAATTAGGTGACCTTTTTTCAATTTTAAATTCAAGCTTATAAAGTACCGGGCTAGGCGGTAAACTGCATCGATCTTGAAGCGAAGACCATTCAAGTTACTAGTGTTTAGTACGACTTATACGAGCACTAATTATACCTTTGAAAATGCACATTTAGTTTGTTGCACAGTTCCGACAATGTGTTGAAAATACGAAGCAGACGAATGGCGAATCAGTCGGTCAGGCAGCGACGAAAAAAGTGAGCTTCCTTTTTCCGTTGTTACTTTATTTCCCCTTGCTATTCGCAAAGCACTCCAAATTTAGTTTTTATGCTAATATTTTGGTTAATCTTCATTTCACGGAGAAAGTGCAAACTTTAATCCTACATTTTGTCAAATACTTATCGAAACACTAAAGTGCAATTTCATCATCGGCAAGTCACACAACAGAGTGCTGGCAATAGTTTTGAGTACTTCAAAGTTGTCGATGCAATATTTCTGTTATTTTTAAGTTTAAAACTTCTGAAAACCTTTTTGCAATGGAGGCAATTTTACCATTGCTTCAAAACATCTTACAAAGCATCGACCTTATGCACCTACGCAATTGTCTTGATCCTTGATTTCAAGTTGCAACTGCCTCTGTATGTTATCTTTTAAAACCGTCTGTCTTTTTCCTTCCTTGGACGTCAAGTGCCATTCATACATGTACGAAAAAGTCATTTTTAATGGCCGAATCTCCCTTTTATTGATTTTCACTGAAATTATCATGGGCAAGGAAATGAGATATTTAGGATTATCTCCATCAGGTGAAGAAATCGAACTAAGCATATCACCAGAGTAGTTTACTTCTGTGCGGTAGAGTGAACATTTCATATTCTGAGTAGTTTTCGCTAAAGCTTAAAATTTGCCGGTTATCAGTTGTATCGAGGAAACTTTCCTTACTACATTTCGGCTTAATTTGTCCACTTTTAGTCGTTTCTTGTGCAAATCATTCCTGGTACCGTGAGAGAGGGTACGCTATGAGTGGATAATTTGAGCACTTGCATTGTTTGCATAACCACTTGGCACCGTCTTATGCTCCTTCCGCCGTTCTGTTTTGTTGAGATGAATGTGCAAATTACCAATAGCGTCTGTCATAACTACGGTAATAAAGACAATTGCAATGTAATATGGTTGTGTCCATTAGTTTGGGTTATATGTAGCTCAGCCGTTGCTGTCTGCAAACTCTATTACGGCTAGATGTTTATAGGATTACCTGCTGTGATGTTTAAATATTTGTCATTGCTCCACTTTGTTAGGAACTAAGCACGCGTTTTATCCTTTTAAAGGTATTTGAATGTGCTCTTAGCCAAATACTTCAAAGGGTACCGAGCATGATCTTAGAAGCCTAACTGAGGCTTACTACTTTGTGGTTTTAAACTTACAAATATCTAAGGGCAAACTTGTATTCCACTTATGGAGGACGACGAAAGGATATATCTGGACTGCCTTACAGTTATATGAGGCGAAAATCTTTCAACTGATATCTGGAGATCCTGTTGGAAATTGCGGTTCATGTGCTACCCAGTTCTACTCCTGCGTTTCAATTTGTAAATTTACTTAATTGTCCTTGTACTCGCACTCATTATAAACCGTGCAAAGGTGTTACTAAAACTATGGGTGCGCACAGGCGTCTTCTCATTAGAATTTGAAGTTTTGAGGCATTTTCATTTTTACGCCTGTGTATCAGAAGAAGGTAAATAGAATTTTTTTCTATTCCGATATACATTGAGCGAAACCCGGGTTTTACACACTGCAAATTGGTACATTGGTCGCTGTGGCGGGTCACGAAGAGACGGCTTCTCCCCAGTTTCCAGAAATCATCCTTTTGCCTTCACTTTGCACTGCCTCTGAAAGAAAATCACATAGAACATGATTAAGGTAGCGTTGGGACCATTTTTTGGCACCCTGCATTCCCGTACCTCCATGAATCCATGGCGATTCGTTTTGCCTGTCGATGAAAACATCTGACACTCGTACACTGAGCATGGAGACAGTCATTTATTTCTCATGGGAGTGGTTATTATTAGCATATCTCTGTTTTGAACTCTCGCCAGGGTGAATCGCACTCCTCTCCCCTCAGGAATGGTCATCCCGTCCTCCCGGAAGCATTAGCGGTGGGTGAGCGCAGTACCCTGCCCCTTGCCGCGTCGCCGAACCCAACTCTGTTGAACACCTTCCACTCCGGCATCGGCTCTCTTCCAGGCGTGTCCACAGCCATGACTACAGTTGGTGAATCCGCCTCTGTCGGTGGTGATAGTCAGCAACTCATACATCAGCAGTACTACCAGGAACGCATCCAACGACTGGAACGTGAACTTGAAGCTGTCCGTCGACAGGCCTCCAAACACATTGATGTGGGTTGCTCACATGGTCTCTCCACCGTGTTGTACTACCATGCTTTACCTTTAGGTCTGAGGCTGTTCAGACACGTGTATGTTTATTATTTTGGGTAATTTCTTAGCGAATAGCCGGATTCTTTAGCAGGACGGGTCGTTTTGATTTTGTCCAACGTGGTAGAAATTACGCCTGTGGTGTAGTTGATGCAGCACTTACAATGCAATGTTTCACGAAAATTTGCTCAAAGATAAGCCTTTCGCGTGTACTGTGTACATTCGGCACGGAGTTAACTGCCTTCAGAACGACTTCCACCTAACAAGTAGGGACAGAACAAAACTTTTCTTTCCGCGAAATAGTACTACTTTCCTTCACCAACCTGATTAACGGAAATGACTAAATCTTGTATACACTCCTATTACAGTATTTCAGTTAATTCCTCTTATCCTCAACGCGGTTTAAGGTGATTGCTGGGCAATTAATAAAATTCTGATGGTCGGATTATTTTTTATGAAAACTGCCATTGAATTGTTACTACTGCTAAAGTGGGTTTCGTTTCTCTGGCTAACAATCTTCCTGCTCGGTCAATCGGGAGAGGAATGTTGGTGGTGTTGGCAGTAGTGACTTATCGCGTGTCTCTCTTCCACGCTAGCAACACCAAGTCCAATGCCTTTGTAAGTAATAAAATCGTTTTGGGTGAATATTTAATGGGTGATCGCCGTCTTTGGGTGCTCGACGCTTAAGAGTTCTTGGTTTTATGACCCCTGGCGTGCGCCCATCTATCCATTTAATTAGACAAGCGAACCCCCGGTGTTTGAACAATCGCCTATGCTAGCTGAAGCCATGAAATTAAAATAATTTTCAGTTGAAAGTAACGTTTATTTAGCGGCACTGATTTTATGGGTCATTAAATAAATCAAATCCAACGGAATGAGGTATGAACTGGGAAAGAAATCTTCTGGTAGTATTTGTCTGTGGTTTGTGATCTAACTCCGTGCGGTCGTGGTGTTTTCTTTCCATGAGGTACTGCAATTTTTTTGAAGTGACAGTCGCTTTGAGTTAATAGATGAATATTACAGAGATCCATCAACGACGTTATTCATACGTGGCCTTCGAAGGTTAGCTCTTTGACACTTTCGTGGCTGTACTTTATTATTGCGATTGAAACACGTGATGTCTATCATTCACCAAATGATTAGATATTGACCTTTACTGCCTTTTCCACGCCGTTGCTTCCATTTTTTGTGTTTGTACGCTTCCCATTTCGTGGTCTTTTTGGACAAAAGGCATTCCGGATAGTTACTTTGTTTAATTGTGATACATCATGATTTCGCGAACCTTAATGTGGGGATGCGACATATCTGTAGAATACCTCATCCTCTTGAGACCCGTTATTTTACTTTTTGCACAAAAGTGCGCATTTGGCATTTAATGGACGTTAGTATATTTACACATACAATGTAGCGCAATAGTAACAGTATTATATATTAATAGTAATAATATAGTTTATTTAATGCAAAAACTCGGAATCAGCCCAAATAGAGCCTTAGAAAAGTCGTCCAAAGGTGGAGTCGTCCTCAGGACAATTTAAAACGTGTTAGTTTTTCCTTTTAGAGTGAGAGCGAGGGCACGGGCACAGTATGCGAATTTTTCAGTGTAATTTTTGGACCACGCTACGTCTCGCCTCACGGGTGTGTGAGGGTATGGTCATATATGTGTGTACGCGTGTATGGCGAGGACCTTTGGCGGTGCGCGCTGCTTGGCGTCATGCTTACCGTCCACAAACAGAGAATCACACGCCAGAGATATCGGCTTATCATGGTCATTGTGGGCGTCCAAGTGTGAAATTGCTTGCCATTCCTGGGTCAGTAAAAATGCTTGCTTTTGTGTGTGCAATTATTGATAAACTATCACATGGACCCGTTCGTTGATGGGCACCTCAGCTGTTCGCCTGTGATAACTTTATTCGCAAACAAGATCCTCCTCATTCACGTCAATGGGGTGGGGGCCACTTTTCATTCACTAGTTTTACGTTGGGAAGGTGTGATAAGTGTCCGTACTAGAAAGGTGTGCACAAAAATGTGCAACCAAAGTAACCCTGCGCTTTCCAAATAATCTTCCGTTTATTGATCATAGGAAAAAAGAACTTCCTCTTTGGGAATTGCAAACAGGAAATGGGAACTACACTCATCCACTGGCAGCAGATGTCAGAAATAATGCCGCCTCTAAATATCTTTCGTTTATTGCACAATTTTGACAAAGCTGTTGTTTCCGAAATTCGAATGCTCTACCTTACAAATGTGTGACATTATTTGCAGTTGTCACGTTATCGAACTAATCTTGTTTCTTGACATAAGCCTACCAATAAACCAGTACTGACACTGGTAGTATTTTCTTAAAGACTTTGTCAACATTCTTTGAGCTCGTGTCTGCGCTGAATTTTAAGGGTGTGTACAAGACAGTTGGATATTGAGTCGATTATTGACCATCAGATCTCTTTTGAAGGTGCATCTTTGAGTTCCATGAAGAAATAAATTTTCCCCATAATTGGTGTTGAGAGGATTTGAGACGTATCTACTGGAATCTCGGGTGACCCGTGAATGAAATACGTTTAAAACGATCAGTTTTTTCCTGCTTCTCATCGTAACACAACACAGAAATAAAGTTGCCTGTGCACTGACAAATTTTGTCACTATTTCTTAAGCCATCTTATGATCATAGCGCGAATTCTATTTTCACATTTTGTGAATAGGATTACTGGGGCGGGGAAGATTTTTGGGGGAAGCAAATTCTATATATATATATATTTATAGATACAAGAAAAGGTGATTCACTATCATCCGCTTTTCTGCACACCCATTTCATCCTTTTCTTGCAATCGTGCACAGAAATTCTCCATTCTGTATTGGGCAGCCTACCGACACCAGCAGCGCATCGGTGCAGGACTCTTTTGAGATGGGCATGATCAAACTAGATTTGTTTAGCACCGGACAAGTGACACTCCAAAACAATCTGCTGCAAAAAGGAGCTAACTATATGTCAGTACCTGTGAAAGTGTTACAAAATGACTTTCATGAATCTTGTTTTACTTAAAAAAAAGCTGTAGCCATACGATCGTTTAAATTTATTGCAGAAACTATGCTGCAGCAGTTTAGAATGCAATTTTTTCCAATTCCCAAGTATGCCGAAGAATTAGCAGTAGCAGAATGTTGACTCAACTTTGAAGTGTTCTTGAGCATTATATGCTTTTGAAATCGTTATTAAGGATACGTAGATTATTGTTAGATTCATATATCTTAAAAACTAGGTATTCTTTACAAAAAAACTGGAGCAAGTAATTTTTCACCCTTTCCCGTAAGGGTAGTTGCTTTCCGCAGTCTTGAAAATCAAGTTAATCCAAGGGAAGTAATTAAAAATGTAATTGGAGAGGAGTGGCGTTTTCATTTCTGACACTTCCAAAATTTTGCATTTTTTGAGCAGAAGCAGCATTGAAAATATCTTGCTCTTATTGTAAATAATGCTTTATTTCATTCACTGGCGGCATAAGCTGCCTCGATTTTTATTGCTGTATTTTTCCAGTTGATGACCTGGCCGGTCTGATCGCATTTGGTTTTGCTATGCTTTCATCATCCAAAGCTGTTATTTTGCATCATGTGGAGGATTTCGTGGAATGCAAATGAGTTATGTAAAGATTAGTGATATTCGAGTGGAGGTTTTCCGCAGAAGGGCCTTAAGAGGCGCTGGAATCACAACTCGCACAAATGTCGGTGTAGGTATACTCAAATCCATTTTTTTGTAGCACTAGTTTTTATGTAACTACAAATGAAAGACATCTGATAATCTTTCTTTAATGTAGCAGTATCGATAATATAGCCATAATTATTGCTGACATTGACTCAGAAATTTCCAGTCAATCAGACTCATTCATTTATTTCACATTTCTGCCACAGTGTTAACAGTGTTGCACCGATCATTGACTTCAGTCGGATTCCTTGAAAAATATCTGCTTTGTGATTAGGATGATTGGTTGCCACTTCTTTCTATTCCTTTAATGTCGTTCGTTCCTTAATCCCCGCACACTCCTACGCACACCGCACGAAATGAGGGTCATGTAAACAAAGCGCTTGTTTGGAGAACACAGTTTGGATTAATAATGTCACATTGTCAATTACTCATAACCGTGTATTTAGGGGACTATTAGTGCCTCGTTTGCATGGCCCATGTTTTGCCGCCACGTGTCTGACCGATCCACATGATCCCAAAATAGCAGGCCTTTTACGCCATAGGATTCCCAACAGACGAGCTTGGCTTCTTATGTGTAGTTTTGGTCACCCAATTCTCAAATTTTGGAAGACTTGATTCCATATTTCAAATCTATTTAAATCAACCTGCATTTTCAAGAGCATACTTCGATTGAGAGCTGCTTTACTAAGGTCAGTTGCTGCACAATTTTGGCTGATTTGGCAGATTGTCATAAGCCGTCTTCACACAACATATCTTCTCAATTTTTGAATCTCTTTTACTATTCATATGAAAAATTGGGAGCCTGGGCTGTACTATCTTCTCCCATAGGTGAATCTTTGAGAAAGAAATTAGTCAAGTACATCAGACACCCTTCTGGATCTGTAGCGTGTTTGATTTGTTGGGTCGACCGATACTTAACGGAAAGGTGATTCGTATTAGTCGGATGGATGCGGTGATACCCGTTCTCCTGCTGGTTTGTTGATGGGAGGTATCAGGTAACGATTTCAATATTCACTGAAAGGGTGGAGCGCTCGATGTTGTTTAGTTGCTGTGAGTTGGGTTGTTTAGAGTTCTTGAGTTTTACCGCCTGCCAGTTGTTCTGATTCTTTCGAGGTCAAGTGGATAATGACAGCTAAGTTAAGTTTTTGCGTGCTTAGGATCGAACATCTCATTCCCAAAACAAGTTATCCCATTATTATACGACCTTGCTGACCTTTAAGTTTCTAAAAGTACCTAGAATTATTCGGATGGTTTTAATCTTCAATCCACCCCCACCTCAAGCGATGCCTCTTTAACCCAGATCAGAAACCGTAAACACGGGGCGCTCAAACTCCTGCTGCGTTGAATTTCGCAGTCCATGCTCTCTTACCAGTGCAACAGGATAGCAAACTTCTTTTCTGAAGGCGTCATAAAGGATGGCGTGGCCTGATGTTAGGCTCCACTCTTGATGGGATTATTTGAATTTCTTCAGTGGCCTAATGTAAAGGCGTTTAGTGCTTCACTGAGTCATGATTTGTAGTTTGCCTTTTTACAGTTTCTGCTACATCCCCCCTCCCCCTTTTTGCCGCCTCAATATGTGCTTTTCAATAAAAACAATTTTCCATGGCTTGACCAGTCTACACGGCCATAAAATCTAGTTATCCCCTGTCACTGCACTCACACGTGCTTTATTGAGACTTGCTGCCTGTCAGCCTCACATCGGCCTGTGTCGATACGATTGTGGGACTTCACTCCCACGAGGGTCTTTCGTGTGACTCATATTGTCTCCGGGTTTTGGCCGTACGATGCCGTGTTGTTGTAATTGCCCTACTCCTCGCCTCCGCAGACTGCGGCGATGAGTCAGCGCTCCGCTTGCCCAATCATCGTACTTGTCCCCCGTCCACATCCCACTGTCTTTCCCTCGTCAAGCATCCCGCCCTTCTGCAGTTGGTAAGTTCACAGGGAAAACATCGCTGTTAAAATTGTTCTTGTGTTTGTTATTTTGGGTCATAGGCAAGGCCTTCTCCAATTTGGCGTGCTTATCCACCCCAGCGACCAAGGTCAAGTTGGCTCAGGATTTCTTAAACAATAGTGTCTACTATCATTTCTTTAGTATCAATCTATTGACGTAATAGGTTAAACTAACCACATTCCCATTCGTATGTACGGCGCTTGATCTACGATAAAAGTCCCAATTTTATTTCGGCCCCCTAAACAAAATGACCTCATTTCTCACGCCGTCATAATCTTTAGCTTCCAAACTAGTAACCACGCTTTTATTAACCCGCACCTTTAGTAATAAGTTTATTAAGCGAACTAAGGTGTTTAGAAGCAGTGGTCTGTTTTCAAAGCAGATGCTCGCCTTGAAAAACATTTCCAACAATCACGAAACCGTTTGATCGGCATTGCCTGGCCCCGGCAAACGAGAGTTAGGCAACGCATTTCATTTGAAGTAATCATTGGATTCTTCTTGTGAAAAATAAGTCCTATGGAGAATTTAGAATGTCTTGGAAAAAAATAATCTTACGGTTTTAAGATCGTGTACGTGTAGACAGTGCACAGCCTTGTGCCTCGGTTTTCCTTACTGTCCGGTGGGTAAACGGGTTATGATTCGAATGTAATGTGATAACGGGGAACCACTATTACTTCTAGTACAGGTAATGCCTCTGCATACATACGTTAATTGGAGGGTGCTTAACGCAAGCAAGTTTTATTTGACCAGCTCTTAGTCTTTAGCTTCATCAAATCGGTGCACATCAATTGTAGTACAGGTTGAGTTTGAAATAATTAGGCGTCACCAGGTTGTTGCGTCAAACCTGCTCAATGAGGAATTCTCAAGGTTGCGTTTGGCCATTTTCAAACCCAGTTTGCTTGGCACGATTGATACATCACGGCTTGTGAACAGCTTTATTTGTGCTTTTATAATCTTTCTAGAAGCTCATTGAAAGGTTAACAGAAGGCCGGAACTGAGTTGGTTAACGGCTATGTACCGCCTGTGATCCCAAAAGGCACGTATGTCTGAAAACGGACAACCTTAGTATCTGAATGACAAGGTCGGAAGCGCAGTTACCACGATGATTCGAACCAAATTTACTTCCTAGAATTATAGGGAGGTAGAACGCCTATTACCAGCGCGCAAGTCGTAGTGCTTAACAGTATTTAAAAAGCCCGTCTTGCTGCAGTCCGTCAGTCCCAGTTCCCCGGTGAAGACCATCTCCGACGGCGTGGACCTACGCGATGGACTAGAGCGCGTACACCTGGTGTCCTCAGACGGTGGGAGCGGTGCCAGTGGGACTATCACGGGAGCTAGGGGAGGTGCCTCCCTGGCGCACAAGGCGCCCATCCTCCTCGCTGGCGTTGGTGGTGGAGGCGACACCGTGGAGCAGCAGCTAGTGGGGAGCGAGGGCGGCAACCCGCCAGACAGCGCGGTCGCGCTGCTCAAGTTACACAATCGGCTGGGGCGAATTCTGCAGGAGGCCTGCGATCTGCACAAGCAGATTGGCCACCTCCTAGCGACTGTGGCCAATCAATCCGTCTGATAACTTCTGCCTGCCTCGTCCCCCTCCTTTTTCTTCTCCCTTCCATTCCCTCACAATCACTTAGAGCGCAAACCGCGTCACTTGCAAAATGTATTAACGCTATTGTTAGTCGTATATCGCATAACTACTAGTGTTTCCCCAACAATCACGAAAGTGGAGCAGTGGGTTACAGTTTTGGAACCTGCGTCCATAGAAATTGCGCCTCTTCCAATACTATGTTAATTACTGAAAACAGCGGTGCCCGTATGAATATACTCAGCTGCATCGGTATCCCGCCACACAAGGGCGGTGACGTTCTCGAAGCATCATGTTAAAGTTGAAAACGATGTAACAAAGCGCCGTTTACTGTGGAATGTTGTTTCTCAAGCTTGGTAACCAGGCTTGATGCAGAATCGTCGAACATCTCAGCACTTTTATACGAGACTCAACAAGGATTTCTTGGAGGAGGAGGGATTGGGACACCACCCGCGGGAGGTGAGATAGCGAGTAGGCGACGTCAAATAGCAAACCACACTAACCCGGAGCCGATATTGGCCATCGCCACCAACGACCAAGTCGGAAACAAAACCACTACCCTAGACCTTAGGAAGACAAGCTAGCAATCGCAAGGGGGCATCGGCACCTAAGGCTGTCGAGTCGACGGTATTCGTAGTGGACTAGCGGTGTCACGAGCTGTCGTGTTGATAGTCGCTTAGAGGTCGAGCACAACTCCGATACCACCACTTCAAGATTACACGAGGAACAATAATGAGCCTTGCCAGAAACAACGCCTTAGTCAACGGTCGCATTCATACCAACTCCTGCGAGATATTAAAACCAGACTGAGGATGCGAATATGTGGGCGCACACATCGCTCCTTGGAGTAATAAAGGGTTGGAAGATGAAGGTATCTAAAAAACGCCAAGAGCTACTCAGTTTTCTCTCTCAAAAACATTCTTCTTGAGAACTTTGATTATGCCCAAAGAATGCAACGACTCCAGTTTCCGTAATATGCGGGTTTCACCATCACAAGGGCTAAAAGATGTTTCAGTGGGGAACAGTCTATTGCAACAGTAGGGCTGTGTGAGGAAAAGGGCGTCGTGAATAGAAGCGAGAAATGCAAGCTAGTGTCGCTGCAATTGCAACAAAGCTTATGACAGCGTGAGCACGAAAACGCGAAAAAGAAGCAGACTGCCAACTATACAAAGGATTCGCGGCCACACGTATACATTAAGAATATTTAATAAAAAGGAATTGAAGCTTATACCCACACAGTGCCTACGAACTCGAGGCTGGGAATACACGACCAGGATTATGAAGCCGCCTCCACGGAAGGTTGACGCCGAGCCTGAGCGGCGAACCCGCCACGTAAGTAGAATGAGCCACGTGTACCACGACCGCGTCCACCTACAAGTCAGGAAATACGCTTGATGGGAAAGCAACGCCAGACCCGGAAAGAGCAATCAGACCTGAACCTCTGAACGCCATTCCTCCGTTCCCGCGCCCTCTACCACCACCACGGAAGCCACCCCTAAAACCCGGTCGCCCGCCGTTTGCTTCCCCTTCGTTAAAGGGTGGACGAGAGGGCCTGTGGTCCTGAGGTTCTCGAGGATGTGCCGATTTACCACGAAGAGGTTGATGATCACAATGTCCATTTTGACCAATCGGTGACTGCTGTGGCGGTGAATGAGTCGGCGCTTTTATGAGTTCAGAGACTTGCGGTGCTTGTGTCCCGCGGACACAATCCGCCCACGACTTAGCTCCACCCGCGGCAGACTTAATAACCTGCTGTTGTGCTATTTCAGCGTCTATTACAGCTTGCAGAGATGTTGGCTGCGACTGTACTAGTTCAGGTTGCTGAAGAACACCATTGACGGCGTCTCCTCGATTAGGCTTCTGCTTCGATTTCGGCTTTTCAGCAATCACAGTTTCCGATGGTGGTGGCACTGTTTCCACCACCTTCAACATGGGAACCTTTTCCGCCTGAGATTTTTGAGAAGAGGCCGCAGGTTTCGCAGCGACAGGAGCGGCGGGAGCCTGTGACGTAGTTAACACTGCCTCCGACTGTTCCTGAGGTATCGATGGAAGAAGTCGAACTGGGTGCGAGAAAGAGTACACGGCTGACTGTTCGCCGGATAGACGCACAGAAGTAACTTGAGAAGCCTGAAACCGAATTTAGGTTGAATCATTGCATCAGTCGAAGTGAAAAGAATGTGAAAACTCGATTTTTTAAGAAACGAGACCATAAAAACCCCCAAAATTTAAAACAAACAACTACGCATGGGAAGGATGTACACAATTCATCACATGAAAAACGATGGTCGGAGGGAGGCTCTAACCTGAAGAAAATTAAAGTTAGTTTTGAGTGGATCGATGACGCTGTTAAGAATAGCTTCAGCTGGCAAAAATGCTGCAGTCGAGGAAGGGGATTTTTCAGATACCGCCACTGGCGCGACATTGCAAACAGGCTCCCCTTGAGATTTCACAGATTGATCAGCCCCTGACACTTTAGGATGCTCAGAAGCAGGTTTATCTTTACGCATGCCACCTAGAGGTGAAACAAGTGCGGATCGAACGAATTCGTTGGAGAGAAGATCGAGACAAGTTTGTCGCAATTCCGCGAAGGTTGCCGAACGCGATTTTCCGCCTTTGCCGTTTACAGACGCTTGCACACCATTCGCCAATTTAAACAAGTATTCTGCAGGTCGCTTGAACAAGTCAGAGGAATCCATGTCGTCGATTTTAAAACCGTTGGGTAGACGAAAATTGAGTACCCTTGATGCACCTTCCAACACTTTGAACTGGTTCGGGGATGAAGCCTTAATAACAGCTTCCTTCACTGCGGGCAACTGAACCTTCGAAAGCAGCTCCAAAATTGGGCAGATCTTTCGAAATGTATCAATGGTGTACTTCTCACGCAAGGCAATCATTCGAGTTTCATTCTCCTTCATTACGCCTTCAACTTTAACTTGCATCTCGGTGATGACATCAGTAGTTTCCTTTAACGCATCAACCTGTTGGCAAACTGAATCATATTCGGCAACCGCTTTTTCTTGATCGGAGGTAAGACAACCTCCATTGCGTAATGTTTCCTTGTAGGATTCCAACCTTGCCTAAAAGATTAAAGTAACGCCGTGGAATTACCTTGCGCTTAAGAAGATTTCTTTGCTTCTTCTCAAGATTGCAGGCATACTCAGCCATTACAACAGTGGGAGAGACAATCTCACCAGGCATTTTTCTGAAGCACGTAAGCAAACGACTGCTCGCGCCGAATTGAGAAGAGGGTTGAGTCACTTAAACAATGCATCTCATTCCAATGAACTGCAAGCGTTTCAGCAAGTGGTGCGAAATCAGTACTAATTACTTATACTATTTATATTTTATATAAATTAAATGATTTATTTAGTATTATACAAGCATTTGGGGGTGTAGCAGTTAAACAACAATAGAATGGATTATATTTACCTTTAACATTGATCTGAAAAAAACTTTGCCCTTTAATCCTACTTCTGCAATGTTTTAGATAAAAAACCTATCCCAAAACATCCGTCGTACCCAGTTCATGAAACTCGTTGGCTTGTAATTTTACTGAAAGTTCGTTCATGTTATTAAGCTTGTCAAACACCCGATTTCAACGTACAACGAATACTTCCAACCCTGAACTGTAAGTTGGGCGGTAATGCAATACTGCCCTGAAACTACGCTTTAGGGGAAATGTGGCCACGCTGCATAATGGGACACAACCCCCCACTCCCATAAGGGTAATGACCTCCGGCAAATCAAGTCCCCCACGATTTTGACACAGTATTGGCTCAATTCTTCATGACACCCCCCGTCGTAAATCGTGTGCACTGACGATGGTCGCGATCACCCCAGGGATCTACTGTGAAAACAGTCCTCACCGGTTATATCCGTGACCGTTTGCCGGGAAAGAAGCTATAAGGTGCAGCACCCACTACTGTATATCAGCTCAATCCTTTGTACGTATACACCTCATCTTCAAAGTATTTACGGAGTGTCAAGCAACCTAAGTACGAATTGAGGGGAGACAGTGGAAGCCAATCCACAAAGTTTTTTTTGCCATTATTTTGTTGAACGCGGCTGTTGCCCGTAGTTCCTGATGGCGCCTGCTGCGAGAGACGAACCTGATGCGAGAACTGCAGGCCCGTTGACACAGCTGGGTTTAAACCGTCCTGCAACTCACAGAGAAGGCTTTTAGATGCATTGGCAATAGGAGCAACAGGACCCCCGTCCCACACGCAATCGAAATCTCCTATGCGCCGTTCGTCTCCATTAAGCCGACCCTCCATGTCAACCACATTTAAGGTGTCACCCAACAGCTTAACCTACAATGAAGGATACAACAGACAGTGATCTCGTTTAAAGGAGCGGGTTAGTCTTGATTACGCACGAAGACGAACCATTAAGAACATCGCTTTCATTCAGTTTTTACTCCAAATAGAGGAATAAATGATTGCGTTGAAACTAAATATCCTCGACACACAAATATTAAAAATTAGAAATTCCGACTCCGGTTAGTGTAAAATAAAATCAGAAAGAGGATTCAAGAAATGGAATACGGATAGCCTATAGGTGTATCAGAATTCACGTATTTACATCTCCCCATGCGTACAAGAAGCTAAACTATGCCATGACAGTAACACTAAATATAATGTTCAGGCTGCTCACATGGTTTTCGGGCTACTGTTGCATAAAAACACGGTAAAGATGCTCCAGAAAATACGGATAAGTAATAATAAAAGCAGTGGTCATGGTGCATATAAGTAGAATGTCAAAACAACTTAAAACAATTCGGAATATTTCTTTTTTAGCAGGAGCGTGCGAAGGTATAAGAGGTATGTGCATTACTTTCAAGGCGTAGTCTTCGTTTGAACTCGCAGTCAAAGATGGCGAGGCATTTATTTCGAGGAGCCAAGGTTTGAGACTGTTGTCTACGAGGATGTCGTAGCCGTAGAGCTCAAAACAGTGTTTGTCGCTGATCATCACCTTCTGGACGCTCAGCAGGCTCAAAATGAAAATTTTATCGATTTCCCGAAAGAGTTTGGCCACCTATTAAAGAGTGAAAGGCACGAAAAGGCTTTTGGAGTTCCTAATCAAGTGACTGACTTAGTATCAGTTTATTTGTCTTATCAAAATAACTCAAAGTCCAGTCAATAGTAAATATTGATCTAGCGTTACCAATAACAACTAGCTGCTGTTCTATTTTTACGTTTTATGAATGACGTGAAGGGGGCAGTGTGGCCGCACGGAGTTGAGGCGTATCGAGGCAAAAATTTACCCTTTCAAATCCGTGTTTGGCTAGCATGTACCGTCGAAGACGACAGATAGACCACTTGCAGCCCTTCATCGCATCATAATCAGGCGCCGTTTTCTGAATAGCAACGTTGGTCAAATGGATATCTATTTGACAAATGTAAAGTAAACATGGCTGGTATCTTGCCTTGAGTTTGATAGATAATTAAAACCAAATAGAGTTACAATTTGAATGGCATGATCTAATATGGTGGAGCTGAAAAGCCTCTTTAAAATAAAAGTAAATGTAAAACAAACCAATCTAATGGAATCAGAGGATAGGTTCAAACTTGATAAAGCACTTCAAAAGGATACACTGGTCATCAATTGATTCCATAGAAAACCCGACGTTCGACAACCTTGCAAAACCATCTCTGTAAACCCAAGCTTTCAAGGGTTGGAACTAGGAAACAAAATTGAAAATCAACGCACTGAAGGTTGCGGCTCAGACGACAGGCACAGATCTAGTTTTTCCTTAGTCCTTTTCGTATAGAGGAGTTTTGCAAAAGGCATGAATTTTTAAAATTTTGAAGAAGAAATACACTAGAAAAAAAACCCACAAGTTGTGGTGAACAAACGAAACCTACAGAAGTAACAAGCACGTAAACTCGCAAATCAAATTTCCTCCCACCGATCAAATATGGATTATCAATGTAGCGCGAAACCACATAGTGTTCAGGTAGTTCCTTGGCGTCTGCGTCAGCATTAACCTCATTCTACATATAGAGGTCCAATTGCAAAAAAATCACCTTTGTGAAGTAGTTGAAGCTACTTCCCCTTTTCCAGGCTTCAATATCCTTTAACCGTCGAAATAGGAAAATCCCTTTACCCTGTGACTTCGCAACAGGCTTCATAATCCAAATCGACCCAGGATTTCTCCTGAATTCCTCTAGAAACATATGATACTCCATCTGTTTAAATTCATGTTAGGTTATTAAACATACCGGCAGCTCGAAAGTTGATGGCATAAAGTCAAATCTGTCAACCAATATATCGATTGTGAAACATGACCTACGCATTCGTATTTCTACACCCGGTTTCCTTTTCAAATTTCTTTTTTGCCCGCTTGAGATTTCTAACCATTAAGTTCTTTCTAGTAAGCTAAAGATCAATGCAAATAAAGTTGACAGATGCGTACATTCCTCAGTTCGTAAATAACATTAAGAAATAAGCCAATAATACCTCAAAGTGGTTACGGAAATGACATAATCGAACGTGATCAGCCAGATATTTATGATCAAAATTATCACGCATCCACTCGATCGTACACCAGAAAAAGTCGAAACTTTCGTCCTCACTACATAATAGTAATCTAAATGCAAGGATACGGTCCAAGCTCCTGCCAGCCTCTATTTCTCAAGACGTCTAGAATTGTGTTGCTTAACGAGCAACGAAACTTGATTACGCTTAAGGGATATGTGACAAAAAATTAGCAGACGAATACCCCTTTGATTCAGGATCCCTTCTAAAAGCAACTTTTGCAGATTGCATAATGCAATCCCGACACCTGTCCAGGGGTTCGTTACCCCAATGTGGCGCGCCACCGGCTACACACCTAGCGCCTTTGGTTCGTTATGCAACGAATAAAGCAAACAAAAAATCGCAAATTATTTTAGTTCTACAGTTCTACTCTAGTCATATGAATTACTAGATCACTTGTAGGCATAATAGCCTACAAATAATTCATTACTTCAGCGACAGTTTCGTTTAGGAGATGAGTTTTTTCCAATTTTTAATAAGTAAACTGCGATCGTCTTACTTTTACCTACTTGTGCAAATCCTATTTAGAAGCGCATAATGCGTGGCAAGGTCAAAGACCGAAAACCAAAATCCTTATGCTGTTAGTGTAAATGTACCTAATGTCATTTTTTGCCGTTAAGTATGTATGCTATCCTGAGGTATAAATTGTGATGTCATGTTTACCTACAGGAAAGTGTGAAAGCGAAGCAATATTCTGCTATTCTCTTCTATGTTTGGGACCCGTTTTCACTCCTACTTTGTTTTAGTTTGTTTAGTCTTTCCAGAGTCCATTAAATTGTTCCCGGGAAATCAAGCAATCTCTGATCACTTGTTCCAGTGCCTGTTAGCGTTGTCATGGGTAGTCCGGCGTTTCGTGCTGAATAAATTAGATCTGTACTTTTTTGTGATACATGCCTGATGGTTGATTGCTATTTATACAAGCTCTGTATAGGATATAATTGTCTGTGTGTCCCCCAGCTGTAGAACCTTCTCCATTGTAGTCATTAATTGTTGTTGCTCGTGTACTTTTTCGCGGTGAAACCAAGGCCTTTTTGTCTTTTTTGTCCAACGGAAGACACCCACGTTTCATATTGTTGGAGTTCTACTTTTTCAATCTGTCCCCTCATGTGTTCCATTATGATAGTTTGTTATGTTAATTTATTGATATCATGCCTTGCATTTTAGGTGCGTGAGTTGGTGATGGCTTCATTGACAAATCCTATTTCATCTCTCCGAAGCTATTGTAGAATTGAGGGTCTACAGTTTCATCAGAGAGTTATTGATGAAACTGGTCTTCCACATGAGCGATTGTTTCATGTACAGACTATTGTAACAAGACAGCAGAACGCAATAATCCCTAATTTGTTTGATGGTTTTGGCCATTCCATTAAAGTCGCGAAAAGAAACTCTGCGCTCACGGCGCTGTCTTCTTTGAATCAACAGAATGAGCTTCCCCTTGATGCCTCGGTGTGTTATTTTGTGGTAGATCTATTTAAATTTTTTGGAATACTCTTTATTTGAGAAACCTTTTTACCACCAAATGTTTCAAACTATGTTTGCTTCCCGTCGGTATGCTGATTGCATCTACGTGCAGTCTAAATTGCCTATGCCGTGTTAGGTAATTAAGATGTTTTAAAACCCAAGTGAAATATTTTCGACTGTACCTAGTTTCCTCTTAAATAGTAAGTATGTGGTTTTAAGTAGTGTTCTGGAATTTATCTTAAGGAATGCATTTTGCTGGCGAAAATGCGATTATTTACAGTTTTTGGGTTTCTATCTGTGCGAATGAATTATGCCTTTTCTGTATAAATTAACCGATTTATTTGCGGTAACAGGAACTTTAGCGGTAGTTTTGCCTTACTGGGACGTTGACCTAGTTTTTTAAATACAGCTTATGTGCTTCCAATTATTAGAAAATTGATTGTTATTGTCCAAACATACAGCGTTCGTAGTGATAGAAAAAATGACCACTGTTTGTTATAATCTCGAAACTAATGTTGCTATCGTTGGCTCTTGCCCCGCTGGTAGTTACTTATTTGCATTTGATCATGAGGACAATCTTATCAGTCAAGCTGGCCGTGCTTCATACTGCGCAAATATTTTTTTACCGTGATACATTTCATTTTTGGTTCGTAGCCTAGACAAGATGGTTTGGAGTCCATACTGAGACTTTTTGATGCCGAACTTTTGCCGTCAAAGCATTCGTACGCAGACCTAGTCAAGTTAGGGAGGCTGTTCAAAGTACCGATACGACTATTTAAATCTGGACTGGATCACTGTGTGTCATTTTGCGAATGCAAGTTTCTTTCGCCGCTGGGATATCAGGAAGCGAGCTTCAAAGCTTTGAGCGTAAGTGTCATCTTTTAACATACGGATGGGCAGCGGCGTTGAAAACTGATTAAAAGTAAAGAGGGGGCTTAAAATCTCATTATAGTTATTTTAGCAGACTGTCTCGCTAATAGATATTAGCTAATACATTCCTCAACCCACAATCAAACAGGAGATCGGAGATTATACGATCTCTCAATCACGTATTACCGACTTAGCTCAAGGAGAATGGCTTTCCCAAACTGCATGATCAGGTTGCATACTAATAAGGTTATAGAATAAGCAGGCTCAAATTTTCCTAACATGCGTTGATCCCAGTGTGTTTTGTGACTCAGGCAATTCGCGCACTGGTGGAAAAGATGGATGAAATCTGCATTCAAAGTTTTGTTTGGAAAGTCGGTCTTCTTGCACGTCTCCGAGGTTTTTCAGTATCTTACGAAGTTGTAAGTCAAGGATGTTCATCAGTTTTTTTCCCCATCGAGTTGAATTTAACTCTAACTTTCCAGATGAAACACGTTTCAAAATCTCAATTTTCCGCATCCTGTGTCCTGTTCCCACTTATCAAAACCGAGGCATCCGCAAAAAGTGTGAAGCGAGCAAAGGAGCTTGCCGCGCGTCTAATGCTTGACAAATTCAAGAGCGGTGATATTACTAGATGTTCACCGTTGCAGAATTCAATAAAGGTGGCTTATCAAGCAGTGGTTTAAAGCGAACTCTTTGAGCAAAAATCGACTCCTTCTTTATGCATTTTAGCCTCCAACAGCAAATCGGAGAGGAGACAATGCTGCTTCGCGGGGCGATCTGACGTACACAGGTTCCCTCCATCCTGTTGAGCGTTTGGAGCTCAATCAACGCATCAACGATGAGCCACCACCTGTTTACACCGTAGAGAAATTGTCACCTTCGATTCCTGCATCACTTTCTCGTAGAAGCGGCGGAACCAACAAAGCAAACCACCGATCAGTAAAATTTCGTTATTTTGTAAGTTTTTAAAAAGGCAAGTTAATATTAAATACTTTGATCATGCAGAGATGGTTGATTGGTCTACTTAAATTGGACGCGAATAGCTGTACCTTCTGTTTTCGTTTGAAGTGCAGACTGGGCGAGATGGTTATTCGAGGTGCTGCGTGCGATAACAAGCGGCTTGCCAAGCGGTCGGCCGCAGAGAGGGCATTGCAAGCCATAGGGATTAGTCCCTATCCTCACTTAGCACGGTCTGCTGTCTCGCCTCCCCCAGCCCTCCACCACTCCGCCCCAGGTACCAGCCCACGCGTGCTGTACGGAGGGTAGATGTGCTCCAGACCAGTAGTGCCGCTTTAGTGTGACTGCCGATGCATGAGACTCTCAGCATGCTGTGTGCGTTAGTTAACCCTTGGCTCCACTTGCATGCTCATTTCTCCTGGTTCGTACCTCATTGTGCTTGTTAATTTCATTTCCTGGGTTTCCATTTAAGCGTCCAATCACACGTACTATTAAAATAAAATACTTCTAATGAGACCTGAATAATGATCGGACTTTTATGAAATTTATTGCTTACAATTGAAGTGATTGATTGAATTTAATTTCCTCAAATTTTTTAGGTGCAGTGGGGCGTCAACAGGAGAAAATTGAAGTAAGTTAAACTTTATAAAGAAGGCCGTGCATAGTAGGTAGCATGTTGACATGAGGCAAAAACTACCTAAGACAATACCATTTGTGGATGAACGAAAGGACTTCCATCTTGATCGATTCCACAGTAAATACATGCTCAAGCGATTTTAGAGTCAAATAGTTTCCAACTTGTGAAGTGCCCTCCATTCCCCTTGGAAATCAAAGTATAAAAGAAATCTATTGCAAGTCTTACCATTACTTAACATGCATTTAGTACATTAAACACGATGTTTCAGGTGTCGTTTTGACATTATTAAGAGTTAATTCATTGGCACAGTTCTGTGTACTCGTGTTTTTACTTTAATCGCAAATGGGTCTTCGTAGGGTACCATGTTAACTTACACTGTAAAGTAGTAGTTTTATTTATTTGCTAATTTGTCCCGTTTTACTATAGGATTCACTTGTTACATTTTCGTGTGCGGAGGAAATTCTCATATTCAAAGCGGCTACGCTGTTGAATGTAAAATCCCATTTCAAGTCTTCTAATGGAAGGTATGGTCTTGACCTGTATGAAGATAAGTTAATTTAGGGTTCTGCCGCCAGAAACACGCCCACAAGCAGATGGTATCATCAAGTTTTAATAAATAGTGAAATTTAATTGATTGTGGACCCAAATTAAAACTTTGCAGCGTTCTTGTCGATTAAGGAATGTGCCTCAGTAGTGATCCTGATTGTTAAAGGTCACATGGTGAATCACTCTAGACACTTTCTTGCAGTGGTAATCAAACAGTCGTTTATGGGTTTCAGTTAAACAGTTTTTTTTCCAACATTCTAGATCACGAAGCACCTTGCGAAATGTTTCTTTGCATTCATCGACGAAAAGTGGTAGACGCTGTTGGTCAGTTGGAATTGACACATTTGGGTGTGGGCTGCAGCAATTGGTGAGGATCCGCTGATAACTCTCACTCCCACTAGTTTTTATTCATTGCAAACTATGCTAAACAAGACAGCAATGCCCTCATTTAAGTGTTATAAGTTCTCGGAAGTACGGGATACGTCTTGAAATGGAAATTCATATCCGGAAACGGTTAGCAAATATGTGGAGATCTACACTATATGCTTCTTAAGGCGAGTAATTACAGCCTTTTTTATTTTAGTTCGTCTTTGGTTTTTTTTTCTAGGGTAACATGGATACTACTAGCAAATATCATATCGGGACTACTGGACTTAACAAAGGTAATCTTTTTAAAGGTTTTTATAAAACATTTTTATCGCCAATGGATAACACTTTTATACTTTTTTCCCGAGAAAATTGTGCAATTTTTAGCTCATAGCACGAATGCAAAAAAAAACGTTTCTTTCATTAGAAAATTGTCTCAATTGGAAATCCGAGGAGCAACAGCTCCCAAGTCCGCGTCAGGAGGCCGTTGCCTGGCAGTTGCTCTCACAACTCATTCGTGTGCTCGCTTTCCAGAGGCCCAACGATAACTTCTCTGCTACCGCAGAATTTGTCAGTCCGGACACCCAGTTGCTTCAGATGTGCAGCCGTTTTGGCATTCCCTGCAAACTGACCGAGTTACCTGGCTTTAAGTTTACTGGGGGTGGAGCTCCAGTATTTCAAGTCAGTCCTTTCGCTCTCACGTTTGCTTAAGCTCTGTTGGACTAGCGTTGGGTTTAAATAAGTGTGGAGGCAAAAATTTTAATAAAAGCGATGTGTCCAAATAGTCGTAGATATTTAAAGAGTTTTTTTAACTTACAGACAAGAAAGTTCCATAATTTCGTGGGTTTGGGCTGCGCGTTCTTGCTGCAAATTGGTGGAAATCATCTAGGTTCTCTTTGTTTGCCATCCGCCACTGGTACGGAGAGGGGGTATTGGACTTCGAGCAGAGGGGCAATTCGTTTGGAATGCCAACACAATGGCAGAGGTGGTTGCTTTTTATCTACTGCTGCGAACAGAGAAACTTGCAGGAGAAGTTTGGCGTTGTATGTTCTACGAGGTCTTCCTGATCTTTCCGAGTAAATTCCTTTCATCTGAAGCGGTATGGCAATAATAGCTGAGTTGTAAATGACTCAACCATGTGAAATTCCTCTGCATCACATTATTCTTCCATATTTGCATTAAAAAATTCAGAAAAGAAATGCTTGTTTTTATTGATTTTGGAAGCAAAATAATTTCAGAAGAATTCTAACCCAAAATAATTTAGAGCTATTTCCGATAGAAATATTTTACCCATTTATTTGTTAATGACGCCAATCTTGTTGGGTTGCCCCCATTGATGCTTCTACTATCCTGATTCTGAAAATAATTGCTACATGGAATTACTTGATTTTGGATTGCCTGACCGTCATTCGTAGAAACATTGACGACCAGCAGAGTTCTGTCGTGCCTGATCGGAACTACCGAAGTGTAGTCACCGACGGAATATAGCTTGAAGTTGGGGCCATGTGAAATACCGACCTTAGAATTTTATGGTGCGTGGATTCGTGCACTACGTTTAACGTTCACGACAAAAGTGGAATCTGACTTTGCGAATCGCAGTTTGGGAGCTCATTTACGTGGCATGATATTGTGAAAAATCCAGTCAGAATACCATGAAAGCGTAGTAAATGAAATGAAACGAGGAAGATGCCGTCATAAGATGTGTTTGGGAACTGTTAAAAGGCATGGGAAGGAAGAATCATGTCCATTGCTTGTGCCTTTTGAAAATATCACCAAAGGGGAGAGTAACAAGTTCCACCGATGTGATCTTCCGGTCTTTTTGGAAGTTTGTAGTGTCCTTCATGGGATCTAGTCGGGATGCGGCTCATTACATGAGTGATACTTCGTCCAAAGAGTTGAAAAATTCCCAGCCACAAGTATTTCGGTTGCACAAAAAATTAATTTAGGAATCAACTAAATCATTTTTAGCCATGCAAGTCTCACAATTTTTTCCTAATTCATATCTGGATTTTATTGGTTATGATATGCATAAGGGAGCGAGGAAGTGAAACCAAAATTTAATTCTGATTAGCCGATAGAGCCATGTTGTGCAACTTGAGCTGGTCATGATTCATTTAGAATTGATAAATGAAAAAACAACTACTTGATAATCTTAACTCCCATAAATTCGTAGCATTTACCACGCGATTTTACGAGGGAGCTACAGGAAAAATTCCACTACCTATAATGAATTGCAAGGTTGCATGTAGGCATGCATTGTGAATTGAAACGCGAATATTTTGAGAACCGATTGCTGCTTGCTGTAGTACGTTGGGTGTTTGTTTAACTCTCGTTGCTCCACCATTGTGCCTTCACTGGGCGGGTTTGCCCCAGGCTATCGCAGTAGTCCCCTTCCAGTCCTTCTGTGCGTCACCAATACGTATTCTGCCATAGCATTACAACTTCTTTCGACCTCAGGGAAGCCTCGGGCCGCCGCAATAAATAATGCATCAATGTTGTCATAGCATCAATAATCGACTAAGTAAGAAGAGTTCCCGTAAAGGGAAATCGGAACAAGTAAATGAATGTCAAAAAATTAGAGTAAGATCTAAAAAAACAAAAATCAGCCCAACAGTACTAATTAAAAGGACGAATTCTGATTTTATCAAGCATCACCGCCAAAATTCCGAAGTCAGTAAAAGTGCCGAAAAATTCCACATTGTGGCAGTGAGTTGCCATTAACAATGAGACTGGTCACATTTATTCATTCTCCATTGGCTAGGGTAAACGCCCTAATTTCGCTTTTGTGCTTTGCCTAATTGGGCGCAAATTTGTATCTGTTTTAATTCTCTTCACTTGAATTGTTTTCTTCCTCATTATTTCCATATTTGCTCATTTAAAAAAAAGATATCTATGAAATGCCACTCTGACTCAATCACTTTACCTGTATTATGAACAACTAGCTGAAAAAGGCCTTAATTTACTGCAATTTCTGAGAATACACTTTCGTCAAAATTCTATCTAATTTACTTATTGCAAGGGCATACAAAGTGCTCTTACAAAGAGATTTCGAAGAACGATTTATTTGGTGTTTTATCCTTGTAACCATGAAAATAACTATATCCTACAATTCGTCTTCTGAATTCAGGGATTTATCTGAAAACTGCATCTATTTAAGTGTATGTACGACCACTGTTCACGAATGGACAATTTTATGGACCCAAAATTAGATTTAAAATAACAAAATACCCAAGGATGCATTTGAATACCATCACCGCCTTAAAATATGCTTGATGGCACTTAAAACCTTGCTTCGTTCCATCCTCTGATAGCGCAAATCACCCTCACCATCGCGATGCCTTCCTTCGATTGGTGGACTTCTATGTCCCCACCTATTTGCAAAGGCAATAAATTGTTTTCTAGAGATGGCAAAAAGGGTTTGCGTCGGCAAAACTTCCTACTGTACAAACCATACTAAGTACATAACGATTTTCTCTTCATGGCTAGCGCAAAATTTTCCAAAGAAGAGCCTTTGTCACCTCTGTTAAGTTAAAGGCCATAAATCGCATCTAAGAGGGCATATGAGCTGTCTGTTTTTAAAGCAGTATCCTCACTGCAACTACCTGAATTTGTTATGAATAGTAACTTGGTTGGCATGAGAATCTACCTGAGGAAATAACTTTGACCTGTAAAATTTCGAAATAGGAAGGTTGATAATCGCGCTAGAAGCAACCAATGGATCACTTTCGTGTCTCCCCAGACCTTATAAACAACATCCACGTTGGGCGGACAGTTACATATGGCACCACTCCGTCCATCAAAAGAATCCGATTGTTGCCCAATGCGGGAAACAAATCCTCATTTTTTAAAATAGGACGAATAGCGCTTAATTTGGCCACCGTTTTAGTTGCTTGCATTTGTACTAGGTTCATAACCATAAATAAGAAATTCCTCGCTACTAAAGAGAGGTAGAGTTTCTACTAGATGAGGCGCTGTGAGCCCCAAAAGGGCTGCGCAACTGGGTGTAGCATTGCTACCCATGTCAAAAAAAAACAATTAAGTCATAACGATTGTCTGATTTCATGTAACCAAAAACCTAAAATCTTATTTGGCAATAAGCCAAATGAATATCACTAAAGTTTTGAAATATGCATGATGGTTTTTTTCGGTTCCCGAACAGCTCAGTCTCAGAAAAAGGAAAGTGAACTACTTTTGGAAATGATTGAAACAGCCTGAGTTCTTCCTGAAGTCGAAAGAAGATACAATACTAGGGTAGAATATGTATTGCTGATGTACAGAAGAGCATGGGGACTACTGGCATGATCTGGAGGTCACGCCGCCCAGCAAAGATAAAGGATGTGCCTTAAGTGCTGGGGAAACCAGAACGAAGAGTTAGACAAAAACTCAAAGTATTACATTAGCAGAAGATATGTAAATGATGTAATTTTCTCCTATAAGAGCAATCGTAGGGTGTATTTAACACGAAATCAAGTTAAAAATTTAGCACCCTGTTTTATCTTCAAATGTACTACTTCACTAGGTGTTGAAGTATCTCGGGTGACTTTACTTTGTTTAGATAAGGCATAAAATGTCTGTTTGAATATGCTTTTTAAATGACAAGTGCGAAACCCGTGAATGGGCGGACGTTATCGGCCCCGGAGGAAGAAAAGAAATCCACTCCATGTTAAATTTTGATAACCTGCTAACTTCCACCATGTCCCTAGGATAAAATATGTCCTCTTCCGTTTCAGGGGTTTTAAACCAGAATTAAAGTAATGAAACACGGAATCTGCTACAAAAATGATTGGGGTTCAAGTTTCTAGTTTTTACTTAAAGAACGTTTAAAACACTTGACAATGTAGCCGTAATCACGATTATTTAATTACAATTACTCGAATATAGCGAAGATCCTGTACTTTATTCAGGAATTTTGAATTGTAGTTATAATAAATAAAGGGAACGTTGGGGCAGATAATGTGTTGTTTTCCTACAGAAGAGGTTGAAAGCTACGGAGGTACAATGGCAGAGACCCAAAGTGGCCTCCTTACTGAAACTGGGAGTTAAGCAAACAACGTACTACGCTATCAAGATAAGTATGGGAATGAAGAAAACCATACACAACTCCATACGTGTAAACGTTTCATGGATAGGCTGTATAAGGCATAAACTGTAAATCTTTTATGTACTAGGTTTAAAACAGGAATTTTAGGTTTACATTCCATTTGATTGCATTCTCGTTTTATCGAGAAGATTGCTCAGTTGAGAAATCGACAAAATTCAAGAAATGGATTGTGTAAGCGCAGTCCAACCTTTCCGTTTCAGTCTACCGGAAGTAGTACGATTTGCCTTTAATTATAATTTATTTCACTTGAATTTATTTTAATCGACTTATTAATCTGTTGGTTAGGCTTCTCACATTCAAAGCAAAATGTTGAGAATTTTGAAAGCTGTTATGTTTGTCCATAATATGCACAAATATAGGTAGCATAAGAATTTCAGTCATTAGTCCTTTGACGAGGATATGCTCAATAGGTGTAAAGTGTAATCTACATGAGAACTGTCAAGTAGCAGCCCATTTTATTCGCTGAAGGTCGCGTCCGATGGGAGGTTTGGAAATGGACTTATTTTAAAGTAACAGGAGATGTGGACGTCGTGGCGAATGGTTAGTGGGGTCGGAGTGTTACCCATCTTGTGCGGGAATGTAAATGCCACTTGGTATTAGATACCCTATCATCGTTCATAGCTAAATTGTAAATATTGAAATTGTGAATCTCTCGTCCCTGGCTGGCGCACTTCGATAAACTTCTGTTCCTCTCGGGAGTGGCGGCAGTATTTTGAACGCATTGGATAAGTGGCATGCATATTTATGCTCAGATGATGCAGTTTTGTGAGCATTCAGTAAGACCTCAGGTAGAAATGCCTTGTCGCGTTAATCTAGGGTAGCGTCTTAGACTGTACGATGTCTTCAGGTACGCATAATTCGAGTGAAAATTAATGCAAAAACATGATTTATCGATGGATTTCAAGCTTCCTTATATTTAGATCAGGTTTCCGGTCAGAGTGTAATAAGTTGCTATAACGCTATTGAACAGTCGTTTGGTTAAGATTGTCCCAGTATCACGTCCTGCAGGAAAGTATAAAAACCTCGAATTTTCGCATCCCCCACTTCCCAGTGAACTTCAGTAGAGGATGACATTTTGAAAATAATTTGGGCCATTTTAACATACTTTTGATGGTGTTGCTTACTAGTACAGAGCACATACGAAAAAGGTGACGCAAATTATTGATGGGGTTTTTCGCCTCTCTGCTGTGTGGCCATGGTTCAGCATATAGTGCCTTGAACTGCAAAAGCATTCATTTATTCGCAAGGCAGTAGACAACGTCGAACATACTGCGCCGTACCATCAGCAACTTATTCACAGAATTTTCTTTATTTGGTATTAATCCTGTAAACACGAAAACGCTGTAAAATGCACAGAAGGAAGGAATGTCAGCAAAAAAAACCGAATTGTTTGATGTGGAGTTCTTTGGTCGCAATTATGCTTCAAGTTGTACTTACAATAAAGTAGAAGCGCCGCTTTGATTAATGAAAAAGGTATCTTGCCTGATTTAACCACTTAAATAACACAAAACCCAGCAAAATTAAGTACTTTTACAGTCTTTAAGCAAGTCCAAATTATTTAATCCTTGTTTTTCCTTACAGCTTTGCAGATCTTTACATTTTAATGAAAAGCGGAGCATCAATACCGTAGCACTTGGGTTTGTTTACCGATTTGGTGATAGTACATGCATTTCAGCACTTGTTAGTTATGAGATGCAGTGCGCATTTGAATGGAAATAGCGTTTGCTTATAGCGCCAACTTTTTGAGGCGCATCCAAGGCCTTTGTGTTGCTTTGAAATAATGCTTTTGGTAGAATATAAACTAAAAGTTAGTGATTTTCGGTCAGTCTTTGTGCACACTTTTTCATGTGCGTCCTAATCAAGGTACATTCTGAGCTTTTGAACGGCGCGAGCTTATACGGCTGCATTTCTGTAGCTCATTATCAACAAGGCTGATTGAACACTCAACACTTGAACCGGAGAAGTATAAAAGAATGCAAAAAATCTTTCTCATTTGAGTAATGGATTTTCTCTAAATTGGTAGAAATTAATAAGCGATTAAATGACTACACTTTTTATTTGTGTATTATGTGACAATTTTGAGAAGTTTGGATGAATTTATTTACGCGGTATAAGTGATGTAGACTCCGGTACGATATGTACGTGCCAGCACAAGTGTTACCATACAAACCTCGGGTAAAAATTTGATTACCCATTTTTAACGCAAAATGTTTGCCCTCGTTGTAAAATAGGGAAATGGAAGGTATTTGGGATGACCACGATGTTTAGCACGTTTAAATTATGGATATTTATGCAAAAAGATTTTCGGTAAGTGCTTACGGGTCACTTTAGGCCAAAATAGTCACGAATTTGTTATTTGTGGTCTTTCCCGTGCCAAATCGACGTCTGGGTTTTTCGCACCAAAATGCCCATATTTTTGCTGCCAAAACGAAATAAGAAGAGTTGCCGCCATAATAAATAGGACGTTTAACAAACAGGCTTAGATTGGAAGAAAGTAAATGTTGTATGACCATTGTGAATTAAGAAAATCCCACCAATTAATTAGTAGTATTTTGCAAAATCCTTACTCGGCTAAGATGGGCTCATAACGACGCGAAAACGTGCAAGGACGTATAAAAGCACAATTATAAAGTTGTTCCTTTATTCTAGCTCGTAAGCACACGGCGTTTTTAATATCAGTTACAATACAGATTTCTGGAGCGTTTTTTAGTAAATATGCCCTTAAACCCAAATATTTCCCAAAGGGAAACGTTATTTCGGCCACCCCTCAGCTACAGTTAGAGCCGACCACAACACATTTTTGCAATTTACGGTCGCATTATGGCATGAAATTCTAACATTAACATTTTAAACTAATGTGCATTTCTTGACTTGCCTTTAGACAAGCGTTATTGCAACAATAATGTCACATTCACGAATATTTCGAGAGGGAAACAGTTATTCCTGTACCGACAGGTGGATCGTTGTGTAGAAATACCATTTTCCTCCCCATGTCGGCTCAGCTAAAAATTCAAATCACGAAGTTTGTGGCTTTTCAGCATTCATCTGTTTTCCGCCGCAGTCAGCAAATCATCGCCAAAACCCTTCCAATTACCTAGGATTTATTTTGCTCTAGTAGAGATTATGTTCAAATCTCACATAGTGTGCAAAATCCCACCCTTTTTACTAAGGTTAACTATGGTCGGAAACTTTGAAACTGAAACCTCCCCAACATTCTTCACCTTCAACATTCTAATTTTGGGACGTTTTTAGCACTGACTAACGTCATTTTATAAACATCGCTTTCAAAATCCGCACCATTCGAATGTTCAAGTCACCGACGAAGAATTCGTCTGAGTTAAAAAAAAAGTTGAAAAATCAAATCCAATTCATGCCGGGTAAACAGAGGAACAGAACACCACGGTCCTCATATGGTTAATGTTATGTAGACAATTGGCTTGAGGTAATTCACATTTGATACACAAGATATGGACCATCACCTAAGGTCACCGCTTTTAGGGAAGTGGAAATTTTACCAGACATTCATTTCCTCGCGCCAAAGAGCCTATTATTTCGTATACTTCACATCAAAGACAAATCCAGTACTGATGTGCAACCTGACCTGAAAGGATGCCAGATAAATAGCTCATGATTAGTTAGGCGGCTGAAGGGATCACAGGTCGCAGGCAAATCCCGCTACATCAGGTTCCAAGACCAAATGAACACTTCTACGTTGTGACTAAATCGAACGCTGTTTCGTCATAATTTAACTTCACCCACCACGCTCCACGAGATCTAGATGGCAAAAAATACAAAACGGAGTTTGAGAATAACTATGAAATAAAATCAGAGTATAGAATAGACAGGAAGGATGAACCAGCCTAGCCGAGGATTAATGACAACACTCAAATTGACGACACCTATATCCCTGTAGCAATATTCTTTTAGGTCAGCTTAGTAATCCCAGTGGGCGCTTGACACCAGCTTTGATCAGATAAGACAAAGAACCACGATTTGAGTGATGTGCCAAGCATACAATTGGGATAACAGGAAGCACAGTTGTATTAAAATAAACAAAGTCAAGATAACACGTTGGAGGAAGTTGGCATACAAAGTTGGATGGGAAAACAAGCCAGAATCTCAAAATGCGAATTAATACTGACACGAAGCGTTTGAGGAAATTCAAATGAGTAGTCCCAATGGTGGCCCTTGTAAAAAGTGTCCGAGTAGTAGGGCAACCTGAAGGCTTCCAGAAGACGTATGAAAGTCCCGAAATCTCGACTATTCCACGGTCGGTTTTCGTCGCACAGCTGTTTCAGGAAAGTAACTCAAGTGAAATCCACAGTACTTAAGCTAATATGCACATGCCACACAAAACCAACCATAGTGCGGCAAAAAGATTGAAAAGAAAATTCCCCACTGCAAAATCACGTCAAAACTACATATAAACAGTAAAAACAGTCAGAATGTCAGTAAGAATAACGTTGAAAAAGGTCAGGCATTTGAGGAGCAAGCACCGGCGATGAAACCTGAAACAACTTTTAGAAATAGACTGGTGGCGCGCTATAAATTGCCAGTTGTTAATAAAATACCTCAGAGGATATGAATGCAAAAGTATACTGTTGAATGCAATAAGAATAATCAGAAAGGGATTACCGGCACTGAAAGTAGACCCACCTCATAGGGTGTGGCGAAGACGAACAACTTGGGAAGGGAAGGATAGCGCCTGAGTCGGGCAAGTGGTATCGTCCATGTTGGCCACAAGTGTGTCACACCATTGTGTCCAGAATCAAGCCACGTCAATGACACTACTTGGGAGGTTAGGTGGATATCTGAAAATTCGGGGAGGTCGAAGAACATGCCCAACTCGTAGAAGAGCTGGGTGACAACAGAGCCTCCCTTCGAGAAACCGATGATGGCACAGGGTAACTCAGCACAGGCACCATTCACGGCAGTCGCCGCATTTTTCAGCAGAGCGTCAAGGTGACGCCAGGCGGGAGAGGTGTCGCCGATGCCGTGAATCCCCGAGTAGTCTGGCACACCGTTGCCGCTGTAGCGTACAAAGTTGGTGTAGCAAGCGAAAGTGTCCAGAGACCACCGTGACGCACGTACTATCCACAAGTGAACGCCAGAGACACCTTCGAGGCGATTGAGAAGAAGACTAGCTACAGCCTCGAAGCTCCACTTTTCTGCAAGGCCTCCAAACTGCGGATGAGCAGACATAATGCTAAATTCATTCTGTAGGAGAAAATAATAGAGCAATTTAGTGACATCCACAACACCTCCAGATTTTCCTAATAAAGAATAAACAGCTTGCCTAAAAGGTTAGCTAATAACATCATTGCCTTATTCAGAATCACTTTACGTACTGTACATCCATAATACTAGATTTTCGACTTAAACAACGAGCAGTCTTATGAACAAAAGTGACCCATTGATCCAAGCCACAATTAAGCGTAGAAGTATTCGGTTGTAAATTTCTATACAAAGTAGTCGGAGTGGCAAAACCTACCTGTGCATCTCCGCAAAACAGCACCAAATTAGCATTAGGACGATCACCACGTGATGAGAAGAACACGTCATTCTTCAGATGGTCGCGTCCTTCCACAGCTGGTAGATAAATAAACGTCAAATCCCTCTGAACTGCCATGCAGCATAATCACCAATATAGATAATACACAAACGAAACACGACACAGCCAGGCAATACGAAAGGTTAACCAACGCTCCCAAAATGTGATGTAATAAAGAAACTGCCTATATTGTCCCTATGAGAAAATTCTGACAACAGATATCGGTAAAGTAAATGCCATGGGAGACAGTCGGTAAATTCATTAATTAATTAAACAGGTCGTTTTATGAGCAAAATAGAGACGTAATTATAACATAAAATTCCACAACAAAGTAGCACTTAGTAGCGTACATAATCCTGTAGATTTATTACTGCCAAGAGCAAATATATAATCTCCTCCAAATCCACTGGAGTTTTCTGTGTAATTGCAGACCGCGTCATCTCGCAAGCCTCATTTTTTTTCATAACTTTTCATAACTTCTAACAGCAAGTTTTGCCAGCTGTGATAGTTGTACCCACTTTGTAAAAAATTTGATCCAGTACTGCCTATTTTAGTGAACCCAAAACAGCAAACACTGTGGCCGTGGCAACGGCAACTCTTCGAACTTCAGGAATGTCACACGAGTACTTCTAGTTTACACAAATTTCACACTTTAGAGCTTATAATTTTGAATGGAAATCGGTCCAATCATGCTTGGAAGACATACTTACTGTAGAACCGAGCGAACGTGCTAAGGGAATACAAGTATCACTGTTGTGTTGTGTGATTCCTAGGATTCTCGCCTGGCCTTTATTACGTGCGCAAAACTATTCATCCGTTACATCCAAATACTCAGAGATATTGAAAGATGTTACGACCAGATTGTTCATCCACAGAAGCGTATCCTTTTGCGAAAATTGTTGGACAGTTTAATAGGGAGAATCCTTGAACTGAAAGAAGAAATGGTGAAACTTGACTTGAGTGAATACCACTATTTCGATGACATATTATCAGAATTTAAATTAACGCCAACCGAAATACAGGTTCCAATACCCAAATACTTTGTTGTGGATGCGCAGAACACAATAAGGGATAGGCACGCATTCATCAACAGTGTTCGAAGTCAGTTAGGTACAACTCAGGTTAAGGTGAGCATATAAAACCTACCCTTTTAATAAATGTTGCAGGTTTGACCCTTTTTATGTGGTCAGTCTACAATCAAATTCTGTACTAAGCACCTAACTTAAGCCGCTGAAAATACAGGCGATCAGTTCTGGTTTTTTGAGGGATATAGTTCTTACTAAACAAAAAATTCAAGTTCACATAACAGACAATAGTCCCTGGGGGAGGTGTAAAAATATTTTTTTCATTTGACTTTGCCAAACAATCAGCTCAAATAACTGTAATTTAAAGGAAGAGGAACCGATGTCTGTTGAAGAAGCGGTGCTGATCATTCAAAGGCACGAACGCGCAAGGCAAGGTCGTCTAAGAGCCAAATATATGAGAGAAATACGGATGCAGGAGGAAGCTGAAATGGACCCTGAGAGTCGTATGAAAGACGTTCTCAATCCACAAGATGCGGCCAAGGTGATACAAAAGGTGTGAACCCTATATTAATATCTGCAGTTCCGAGATCAAACCACTAAGGAACTAAAACGCTTGCGCAGTAAGATGCATTGAATATTCTTAGTTACAGAGACTGCTTGTTTCTTACTGCTAAGTTTTTTTTAATAGTTTTTACATGTACGAAAATTTATTCAAAAAACACCTTTATTTGCCAGCCGTCAATTTTAAGGTTTTCAAGCATTTTACTTTTATGTCCAATGACCAATCATCGTTATTGACTTCTCAATATAGCATTGGAGAGGGTACTTAGCACGGCAGTATACAAAAAGCACGCGACAGGATGAATTCATATGGTTGGGAATGGCAAGTTCATTTCTGTCTTTTGTTCGCTGTATAAAAACTAAATAAAAATAGCATTCATGTTTCATTTTAGGAGCCAATGAATTTACATTACAATAGTGTTGTGTCGAATATAACGAAAATGGCGCGGAAAATCGAGAGTCAGCGACGAGTTGCCCAAAGTATGAACCAAAATGAATATGAGCAGGCGCTGGTCAAAGTGAAGGAGAAAATACGCCTAACAGAGGGAACTGACATGCAGGAACGTATGGAGGAACAAATACGTCAGTGGTTCCTTGAATGCAGGTAGTTGTCAGTCTCAAACGAAACTGATATCTAGTAAAGAATTTTATCAATGCCAAATGTCTATGCTGTAGAATTTTCTATCCTACGGCGGCTGAGGTGTCATAAGTTAAAGTGATTTAGGCTGCATTTATTGAAAGAGTATAAAAGAATAAAACATACAATTTTATCAATATCCCAACGTCCTAATAAGACTTTACCAGATTCAAAATACCATCGTCAGTCAATCCAATTTGACGATTGTAGTGAACAGGTATTCATGGGTTTCTTGAATAACCATTGTATTGCTGTTGATAATTTTAAGCTCCTTGAGTCTTCGGTGGTTAACTTCTTAAGAAAGAAATTTGAGCTGCCTCCATTGCAAAAGGTCATGGAAGGGCAAATACGATAATTGCCATTAACAGTCGGCACTGAAAGACAGATTGAGAAGGCATAGACAATTTGCTTGAATATGAAATTATGCTTTATCTTATTGAAATCCACCTGTGGATATAAAAGCGGTTCCTGGTGCTACATTCAATTTTAGAGATACCAACGATGTTTTCCCCGACTACCCTTCGGTGGAAGAAGGTGGCTCCCAGTGGCTCTTCAAACCGAAACCTCCAGAACTTTTAGCCCAGGAGGAAGAGGAACGAGTGAGTCGCATGAGTGAGCCACATCAGTTGTTTGGGGAGCCAAAGTCTATTCAACCAGTGATGAGTATCGATATGTATATCTGTCTAGATTGTTGGAAGCCTTGCAAAAAATGCAGTAAAGCAACTTTCGGTGCGAGAAATGATCATTTTGGCACATGATTTGAATAAAATATTTTTCTAATGACTGTGATTGCCTTGATGTATAATGAATAGCCCGTTTAAGAAATTTACCAGCAGTAGTGTTTGCATTAATAGAGAATTTTGGGTGGCAACCTCACTTTGCCTGTTGTAGCGGGTAGCTATCTCCCTTGCTTTTGATATTTTTTTATTTTACTCCTGCATAATCGAGCTGGCCATTTGTATATAAAACTCGTTTTTCATTTAAAACCCAAGTGAACTTTTTCTTCAGATTGCAGCAGAGAGAAGGCGTAAAGAAAAGGAGCTGAAGGATAGTGGTAAAAAAATCCAATTAGAAAAGAAGGTATGTCTTTTCATAAGTCAAACCCTTTTTCATTAAAAATTACATAAATATACTCAAGTGTTGACAAATACACAACAATACCTCTCTACTGAATTCTTCGTCGTATCTAAGCAGGAAATGTTAGGTGTCTCAGTTTTGACTAGGTCTTGAAAGTGTTTACTTCAGAAAGAACCGGAGGGTTGGTTCATGTCGCCTTCCACGTTCATTCAAGATCTCACTGATGGTTGCAAGGAATATAATGGTAAGTATTCGATGACCCAAAGCGCTCACCTTTGGTCTAAACGCATCTTACCCTAACCACTTATCTACCACGATAAGTCCCAGCAAAATATCCCAGTTACAAGCATCTCTACCAAGGGCTGAAAATTTTACATACATTGTTTCGTATATTTTTTTAAAATACATATTGTTTTACTGTTAACAAGTTGCACCATTATTCTACAAGAAAACTGGAGGAATCGCGATGAAAGCGCCAATACCTTTCAAAGACACGAAGAAGAAATTATTAAAAATGATAAGCGTGCACAACTTGAACTCGAAATCCGTGCCAATGTACGTGAATTTTCATCTTCATTTCTTCATTCGTACTTAATGATGACAAACACAATACAGCCACACTCTTGAAAAGTGCTTCAAGGTTTTAATAACCTTCCGCTTTCAGGTTGACGACTTGATGCGGCAAGAACTGCGAAATTTGAAAATTTCCATTGATAGTCAGAGGCAAAAGAGGATAAATAAAAGAAAAGTCAAGAAACCAAAGGCTAAGAGGAAGAAAGGGGGTTTAAAGGATCTGACAAAAGACAGGTGCGCCTACATGAACGCGTGTGTGCTAATAAAAATGCAGAAGTATTAATGGTGTATTCGACTTTTACCAATCTATCAAAGCACCATTTTTTCACGGGTATGATGATTGCATATGGGTTTTCAATGAAGTCGGAATACTGTTGAGCCACATATGCTTGTCACTAGTTCTCAAAAGCAATATATTTAATTTATCATTGAAAACGCTAGTGAGTTTTATTGGCGAATCTGCAAAGTGAAGTTAATTTATTTTAGACTGGCTTTTTTCCTTTAAAGAATTTTAAGACTTACGTTCCATATTGTTCAGTAGTAAGCATTTTACGATAGCAAACAGCATGGAGATTAGAAGTGATCAAATTGATGAGTATTACGAACAAGCTGTGAAATATTGTTCTCCATATTTGAAGAACACTGGAATCAGTTTATGAAGAACTAGTAATTGAGGATATCATTAAAAAACCACAAAATATACATCTCGATCAATACTATGGAGAATATTCATACCTTGGAACTACTCTAAAGGGCAGTATGATTGAACCTCAGCCTTCTCTGTCTGATGTCAAACAACTAGTCACGTTATACGGGATTCTGCCTTTGGGTAAGTGCAGACCAGGTACAGCTGTTATGCTGATATTTTTAGAAAAAATTCACTTCTGCTTTTTAACGCATCAACACATCATTTCACTATGGTCAGGGTCCTGCCAATAAATGAACAACAATCGCTATTCAAAATACCTTAATAGAAGTTCCCACATTCAAAGGTCCTTCTTCCACTGCAACTTGCTTTTACCAGGTTAACTTTATTTCGAAGAGCACTTCAAATTCCCTCGTTTGATATCCTTCTAGTATCCACAGCCAATTTCATTTTGTATAACAGTTCATTTAGAACTGAAACTTCAGTGAGCGAGTTTTATCTCAGAGAAGTCTTCACACCAAGTCGTACCGAGTGATCAAGAAACTCGTTTTTTGAAGCTCAGTTGCATTGATAAAACAAATGAATACCGTTTTTCTCAGGTGAAATGTCCGGAGTTCACAGTAGCTTGTCCAAAAATAGGTTCCCCGGACGTACATGCAAGAGCCAGTCTAACGCGCTCTATCCTGCTGGCCGGACCTTCGGGGACAGGAAAGAAGACACTGGTGCATGCCATTTGCACCGAGACAGGCGCTAACCTCTTCGATTTGACCGCAGAAAACATAATGGGTAAGTACACTGGCAAGGAGGCCACTCGCTTGCTCCTCAACATGGTCTTCAAGGCTGCGAGGCTCCTTCAACCCTCGGTGATCATGGTGGACCAATGCGAGAAAATGTTTGGCAAAAGGATCCCCAAGATAGACAAGGTGTGATGCAACCTCACTTTACATCTGGTTCAATCAACAACTGTGCTTTATTCGTTTGCAGTTTTCTATGGAAAACTCTATCATTTATTTAACTTACTTTACCCAATACCTCAAAGTCTGTCCTTTTTAAACTACACAGGTCTGCATTGTTTGCAGAATGTGGCCACATACATTCGCAAACATTCTATTACATAAAACGTAGATTTTATCAAATACAAATTACAATGCCTAATAGCTGTACCATATCAGAAGCCAAATTTATCTCAACAAGGATTAATTCGCTCCACAAATTACTCTGAAAAAGTGTGGTGATGGTCAATCATGCTCCTTGAGTAATGGCATTTTTTTACAAGACTGATCCCAAACGCCTAAGGAGAGAACTCCCAAGAGCCGTAAGGACGATAAAACAAGGCGACCGAATCCTTCTAGTGGGCTGTACACACGCACCTTTCGACGCAAAGGTGAAACCCTTCTGCAAACTCTACGACCGCATCATTCTTCTTCCGCGTCCTGATTATGCTTCTCGATATCGTGAGTTATTCTCGAGTTGCGGAGACTCTTTACGGTTGATATCATACAAATTATGCACCGGCCGCATAGACCGTCCATTAGAGTTTGTACTTATTTATCTCGTTACCATTTTTGTCAATGCTTTGTTATAGAGTTGTTAAAACTACTTCCATATTGATGAAACAAGGCGATATTTCGATTATCAACTCCGATAATGGCACTGGAGGTCATGACTCTTGTCCTTCATTCCATTCTATGATGTTGATCGTAATAGGCTTTTTCCTCAGTCATTTGGAAAGTGGTAATCGTGAAGAATGGTGGTGTCCTGACAGACGCCCTGGATATCTCTTCGCTGGCGAAAGTCTCTGACGGGTACACCATGGGAATGATGGATAGAGCTTGCAAGGAGGTGCTCACGGAGCGCCGCCTGGCCCTCCTGGACAAGGTACCCCTCGTGGCCTCGGAGCTGATCGCTCCACTCTCTCGCATGGACCCCGTTTTTTTAGAGGAGGAAGAGGCGTATAAGGTAACGGTGACACTTACCCAATAGCAGTGTTTAAACAATGTCTTACATGTTTACGGCTTCGAAAACATTAGCTTGGCCTACTTTCGACCTAGAAATGGTACCGCAAAACGCCACTGGGGAAGAAGAAAATGAGAGTCATCGAGGAGGCAGGAGTTGCTCAGAAAAAGGCTATTAAACCGAAACCCAAATAGAGCCCCACGCCTCCTGACGCCGCTATCTCACTTTCACATCCCCGAAAATGGTCCCTTGACACACATCGGGAAAATGCACTTTTAACACTAAATCATCACAATTAGTGAAAGGGGTAAGAAGCTGTGTATGGGTAATGTACTTATTTCATGATGATAAAATTTGAAGGATTTTCCAAGTGCAGTAAAAGGCCTAAATTGTTGCTAAAGCGAAAAACAGTCTGGTAAAAATAGTGTGTCAAATTACCGCGATATAAACTGTTATACAAATTTATGTTACTAGAAAATAGCAAGCGTGCAACTGCATCGGGATATAAGAGATGCTTCGTCAGATGAAGCACAGATTACAGAATACAATGAATATGAAGGTCAAGACGTAAAAGGCGTTTTAAGCAGGAAGCAAATTAAGAAACAAAGGTGTTTTATTTTTACAGGATTTTCAGATGCAAAAGGTAGGGCCGTAAAGGTAGTAATGAAGCTCTCATGCACTTCGTCATTGTTCTGATTTAATTTGATGAATTCGGTTGTTCAGACCTCTACGATTCCGTGCGATCTCGATTGCAAGAAACTGCACACGGGGCACTACATGAGAAAAGTGAATAACTGGAAGCTCAAACGACGTTCAGTACAAAAACGTCGAGTTATCGTTCTTTAAAGTGCCAATATATTGATGAGATTAAAGGGCCTCGTTGATGCAAATTCAAGAAACGCCTTTTTGAATTAAGGCGGCCGAAAATCAATAAAAAAATTGGTTATTTACTGGTACTATATTCAAAGCAAACGACAGTTAAGCCGATTTTGAAGCATAATAATTTGGAGACATTGGGAGTAGTAAATAGGATTCGTGGACTTACCGATGCATGTGTTCTTTTCATCGTAGCCCCCAGATGAGTCAAGCCTCAGAAGGGTGCCACGGTTGTAGTCTTCGACAACACCATCGAATTCGTTGCAGAAAGACCGCCAAAGCTAAGGGATAGAAGAAAAGTGTTCAATGTAACACTCACAATGAAGCAAAAATAGTAAATGGAGATAAGAAATGAGTAATAAACAGGTTTCCATCAGTTTAAATGATGAACTCAGGGCATCGTAAACGGTTTAAAAGTTAAACACAACCTCTGGAGAAATTTTAAGGGATTCTAGTGAAATAGAAAGAAAACCAGGACGTGCCCTGTCACCTCTTTTTGTTCCTCAGACTTGATATCATCTTCGGTAAAGCAGTCTACGTTAAGATGAGGAAAAGTCTCACTAAAAGTTTTGCAAATGCGATCATCAACGGCTGATAACCGGAGAATACGTGCGTCCGGAACGGCACAGAGTATATTGTAGTGGGTTTCCGCGTGATCGTAGGCAGCCATTGCCCACGACATTTCCAGCAAAGTCTATTGGACATAGCATTTGGGTCAACAATAAATAAAGCGTAACGTTAAGTAATGAACACGACCACAAATGAGTTCCAAGCATAATATGCACTTTAAGAAGGGGGTGCATTTCGAACACTGGAACGTCGTGTGAATTAAGCCATATCAGCCTCGAGTAGGAGTGTACCACCATACCAGACCAAAATCACTGATGAAATTCCCCAGAAGTATAACGAAGACTCACATCGTTTTGATAATCGCTGCGACATAAATCAACCATTTCACATGAGAAGAACTGAACACACACTACTAACAAGCGCGCCCTCTATTGCACCAATCATAAAGCAGGAAAGGACATTCAATATAAGGCCAGACCGTAAAAAGGAAAATTTCGTAGTGGATTGAAACTGAGGAGCCTAAGTAATGCACTTCCCTGCAAGTTAATATTTTAAAAATTCTGACGGGCTTTTTAGCCAGTAAAACAAGTTATTTTTTGTTTGTGTTTCCTGGATTTTCAAGCCAATAATCATTATTCTAATTGCCACTTTTTGCCATCCAAGTACTTGAATTATGCTTTTCTTTGGTTAAGATAGGCGCTGTAATGGTCTATTGCATTCGTCATGCATGTGCGTCATAATACCTTCAGGAAATTTTCCTCTCTTTCCAAAGCGAAACAGTCACCACAAGCCCTTTTTGTGTTCATTATGTCCAAAAATAGAGCCAATTTTCATTATTACTGTGCGCAAACCTGAGTGATTTGTGCAGTTTAGGGAGTAGACCTTGTTTTACTGACAAAGTCATGCGTTGGCAACTACGTTTTCCATTGGCATTTATATTTCGAGAGGGCTATTCCACTCCTCTCACTTTTTGCCTATTATCTACTAAAACGATGCACGACCCCAGCGTATTTAGCACCTAATTTCACCCCAAATTAAATTTTTCTAGTTTCAAATACTATTTCGATTGTACAATACCTAATTCTTACATGAAGGCTAGCATTTATTTGCCACCACTGTGAAGTTGACCTTAATGTTTAAGCTGGTTTTTGGGTAATTATATCCTTTCCAGCAAGAGCGAGGTTTATGACTTCAGTGTCTCTCGCTCTGCTCAATGACTTTTTGTTTGCCCTCTTCACATGACGCATCGAGCAGCGATGGCAGCCTTCACAGGTCCGCAAGCGCATTCTCCTCCGAATCAGCCAATGGGCATTCACTCTCTTAATTTGGATTAATACTAACCATCAGAGCTGGCTTGGCTTAACTAAGCGGATGGCATAATTCAGTGTAGAATGCAGCTTTCCCGAGTACAATAACCCACTTTGAGCTAAGAGTAATTAGGGAGCTTTGGAACAGCTACATACTACATATGGATTGTAAGGTGCCGCACGGTTGCCTGCGCCATCGCGTTCTAGCCACTTAACTTGACCGGCCGACTCCTTTTCACGGCACGTGACACGCAAACAAATGCAGCCAGGACGTTCGTGCACGCGCATGCACCTCCACTTGCCGTATGCTTCCATAGTTTAATTCGCCAAAGACTAATGTCTTTTGTATTTTATAACTTGTTAGTCGCAGAAATCCTTATACTTTGTGATCAATTCACCTCTACCTGAACGTCATGCTATGGCAACAAACTTTTAATTTTCTGTTAAGCTGTGCATAAAATTTACCTGAGAAATAGAAATGTCATGTTGTTTTCAAACAGGCTTGAAGGTCAGATGACCCAGCGACTATTTCGAATTACCTGTGCCATGCAAAGTTGCCACAATAACTGTGTTTAGTCAAGTTCAACAAGTTTTCGAATTGTGGCAGATTTGAGGGTTTGTAATCGACAAAGGCACAAACAGTGCTTGTTTACCTACTATGTACCAGTTTCCAAATGAACACATTATTTAAATTAAGTTATTCATTTTGCCGTTCCGTTTGCTTCACCAAGAATTTTTTTAATAAATTTAGGACGCCTCCCAGTTTTTCCTTCTTTATCTTTACAGACATGAAGGAAGCTTATTGTTGCTGTGAGTTTTCATCTCCATCATTTCTGAAAAATTCCAGAGGGCATGTTGCCTCATAACTTACTTCGGTGAATTTTCTAATAGACACGAAGTTATTAAAACTGTTTGGGAGACAGTTAGGCGCATTCCGTCGTGACGGTTGCAATTTCTGCGAGCCAATGAACAACGCCGTTTTGTGCATTGGACGGGTCTGTTGCCAAATTCTGACTTGCAAAACGCAAGTGAGTCACGCGGCGTGGCACTTGCATGCCACCTACTAGGCAGAGATACAGTCCCACCCAACTGATCCCCGCAACCCATTCACGACAATAATAAGTTTCCAATGAGCATTTTGGCTTTTAAAATACTGCTGATGAGTTCGCAATGAGCAGCCTTACTGGCATTGATCAAGAGTGATCCTTTAAAAAATAAGAAAAAATGAACCACGCTTAGAATGCAGCACGCATCTGCACTTTTATCTTTAAGAAAGGGTGTAAATAAAAACAATTTCAGTCTATAGGTGGAAAAATAGCCAAAATTTGAAGTAGGGCTAAATGTTCTGCAGCTCATAATTCCATCTCTCTTGACAGGTAATTAAATCATGTCACAAATGACTATACTTGGAGCAACCCCCCGTGGCACATACTTAAAACAGATTTCATCTAGTTCAGTGAAATTTCAGCGGCGTTTTTCAACACATTTCCCACAAGGCTACCGATGGTCCAGTACAGCACTCTATACTTCACAGTACTTTTGGATAAACCACTCGGTGTTCAAGTAAGACCCGATTATACTTAAGTGCCCATTGACAACTGCGGAAAAGATTAGGATGTAAGAATGCAACCGGTTTATTACCACCCGGTTAAAATCCTGGGATATTACTGACAGGCACAGTGATTATCAAACAGGTGAAAGAATGAAGCTCTGTTTGCGTTCGAATGCCTTTAATTTAAAAGAAAATAGGTTAACTTCGAATCACATTCTCTGTGATATTCTGTGCACACTAAGAACTTAAGGAGACTCTTCGGACGGAATAAACGGAGAGTGAATCACCACACCACAGGCGATCCTATCGATTGCCATCTCGTGTTTGCTGTGGATTCATCGCAGCAAGGGAATTTGGCTCTGACGCAACAGCGACTGCTTCCATTGGTGGTGCATAAGGGGCTAGCAGCACATGACAGCTTAGTTGCAACTACATTGACGGCGCATGCACCTAAATTTCCACTTTCCCGATATGTGGATAATATGCCTATTACAGTCGGTATGAATTGCACCGTATTCCCAGCACATTTTTGGAGAAGTTAATTTCGTTGACTGACTGAATTTAGTTATTTTGGATACAGTGAATATTAAATTTCTCGCGTCCTGCTCGCGGTGTTTTTGCCTTTCTAACACTCCTCGTCGATCGGTGGGCTTGACCGATCCGCCCATTCATTTAGGTAATCAAAAGTAAATAGTAATTTGAAATACTATATATCAACTATTCAAAGACCTTGATTTGCTAGACATCTGTAAAAATACGGGAATTTTTAAATTTGTTTTCGCTTGATTCAAATGAATGTCCGCAAAATCATAAAATACTGCAAATGGAAACAGCGCAGATCCCCAATGGTAAATGCTACTTTCTCTGCCTGTGATAATTATAATAAGGGAAAGGGATGTTTGTGGGGAGTATGAGGGGCAAACATTACACGTTTCTAACACTAGTTTATGACCATTTAAACTAAGTACGCAAGTGTAATAAGGGAATGTAGAATGGCAGGCGCAGAAGGGTTTTTCACGCAAACTGCCCACTAAAGGCAAAGTGAACTGAGGAGAGGGCATTCTGTCAGGTTTGGATTTATACACCAGTGTCTAAATTAGGGCCTAATAAGGAAGCGGTAAAGGGTGTTACTGATTCTGATTCATGTGTGAATTTCAGCTAAAGGGCCTTTGCGTGAAGGAAAAGGTTAGCCATTTTCCACGATAACTTTCTAAATCATTTAGCCACACCTAAGGCCTAATTGCACACTTTAACAACAAATGACTACCACAAGTGGCGATTACGTACCCATCGCTAAGTTCTCGACCAAATTAAATTATTTGTAATAACCCAAACTACCCTCTACAATCCCTTTTTGAACCGAGAGAGGGCTGCCGAAGCACGAAGCCGCGAGAAGTGAGGTGAGGCTGAGGGCAAGAAGGCACACTCATACGGAATGAATCACCGCGTCAGTTATCGCGGGGCCAGCCGTTGGCCCTGCCTCCCACTCACGTCGAGGTGAATCAGCTCGACGGTGTGCACGTTGCGCGGGTACCTCGATTTCTGCAACGCACCTCGCGTCTTGCATCATCCAGCGGCGTGACCTTCATCACCAGGCCTTTTTGTCAAGACAGTGGGCACAAGGTCAAGGGCCCACGTGATTGCCACCTGTGTATTCTTTCTTTTTTTAAAATAAGGATGATTGGTAAACTTATCAGCATTACATCAATCATCTAGATAATGAAACTACCAAAAGTATCGTAAAGTTAACACACCTTTTTGCATATGGAATCAATAATCACCCAATATTTAGCCCAGTAAAAATAAACCAAATGACTCCTTGAGGTCCCTTACGATTACCGTAGCAGTGCATTAGGTAACTGAGAGTAATCCGATTGAACATTACACCTAGCATTAAATATCAAAAATGAGTTTGTGTGTTTAAATTCATTGAATGACTTTTCCTGAACTTTCGGATTTAAGCAGAGTTGGATCTCTTTCCCCATGCCAACAATATGGTGGCTTCGATGCGTTGCAGACTCGAAGGGTAATATAAGACAAAGTCTGACATAAGAATGCCAAATCATTCGCGTTGGAACAGGGCGCGATTTGATTCGTGTGCACCAGTTATTGGACGGCGCGTCGCGCGTTTGTTTGAACACGCAGACGCGCGAAATCAGCGGAGTTGAATTAGGCCCGCATGCCGATAGCCAGCATGGTCGGGCCCTTGTTCACCACAACAATTCCACCACTGCATAATAATCACTTCACAAC